GCGCTCTTTCATTATGTCATCAATGACAGTGACTTTGAAGTTTTGTATACGTTGTTGAAACTCAAACAATGCGGTCTCTAGTTCTGATCATTTACTCGTGTAACTCATGCTCTTGTTGTGCATTGCTTTAAGCTTTCTTTTGAAATGCTCGCCATCGAGATGATCTTATTTTTTGCGTAAGACGTGCAAGATCTGACCTTGTGTAACCGAGTGGCCAATCTTCTTCGAGAATCAGTCAGCAACTTCATGTTGTGACTCCCTTATATTGGACTAAAAGCAATTTGGGAGCATCGCTCAAGGCTCTACACCGTTTCCTGTAGTCCATTTTGATGATTGTGTTGTTGTGGATTTAGATGCAAGTATATGGGTCGAATTCAAAATAGGTGAAAAATTCGGACCGTGAATCACCAAGGATATCCTTACGGCCAAGGTATTTTTTATAATGTCGCCTAAAATCTACGGGGTCGCAAAAGATATCCTTATCTACGAGGTTATCCTTATAAGTAATATGCTTTTATCGAGTATTCAATCCTTTGCGTTTCAAAAAGGATTAAAAGTATCTATGGCAGTATATGCCTTAAACAGTGGAGTAATATTATACAGATGAAAATGGAGAGCTTTTCTTACTAATGTGATCTAGTTTTGAACGTCGTAAGTATTCAATTTTATAACTAAATCTAGAAATATGCAAGTCCACATAAACACACATATTTTTGTGATGATGATGATCTTTCCAACCGCCATGTCTTAAAATACATTTAGTGGTTTTGGTTTGGATCATGATCTTCAATGTTGTTTTAAGACTTTGATATATGATATATGCATACTGCAATTGCATCTCAATTTGACCATGATGTAGCATGCTCAATGCTCTATCTTGTAAAGGTTTATTCAAACTTTTAACAATTCTAACATGTAAGGATTTTGTTGCTTTCTATACAAGCAACAAATACCTTGTTGTATTGCTTACAAGTAAATACCACAATCTATGGTTCTTAGCTTCATCATTGACATCAGGTTTTGAACAAAAATCGTATGTCACAAATCTAAACATTCCTAGAATGAAAACATACTCTTTGTACTTACATTCTTTATCAAAACAACACAAAAGAGATCACCAGTTTGATATTGAATCCATACAATAATTTTGTATAATCTTGAATTTTCGCATTAGGATATTACTGGTAGTAGTACTGGTTTCATTTCTTAAAATGAGTCGACGAAAGTGGTACATCTACTTGGCAATCCACTTGGCACCCCAGTTCCATGGTGTAGTGGCTCCTCGAAATTTCGTCTTTGGTTTAATGTCACCTGCAAAATCGGAATGAGTGACTGTCTCGTCCATGCACATGGCAGGCAGTCAGTCCTGTGACCTCACTCACACAATAACGCTTCACATCATTGCAATTTTCTGTAGACTTCTCGAGCTTGCAGTTCGTTCTTTTCCTGACGTCTCCTGATTCTGGGAGTTCAATTTTGCCATAAACCAACCATGCAGCTCTTGGCTCCTCCACAATGTTCAGCAGTACAGCCCGTGAGTGAGTGTGAGCATAGCTCACGGACTGAAAGTGTGGACCCGCATCTAAATTGATCTCCATCGTAACATGTCTTTGCACTTTGTGCGTGTGTGGTGTTATGGGTTTCAGTTCCCACTTGTGCATGCGGTATCTGCAAACCTTGGAGTTCTCCCAAGGCTTTCCTCTCGTTGCTGTCCTGCAGAAAGTTCTACTCTCGTTTCTCAATGATGTACTCTGACGGGCTTGCCACGCCAGAGTCTGCCTTTGAAATGTGTTTCATCTTGAAGAGAATGTCTAGAAATCTCAGGCTCCAAACTTGGATACTGGTGTCTAGCTCGATGCGTTCCACGATTCACGAAGGTAATGAGGATCCCGTTCCAGTGAGCACAATCCCGCCTCGTTACATGACAATCATGACCAAGTGCCCTCACTTGGTCTCAATCACCTTGTGAAGGTCGATGGTAATCTGTCCAATGTTCTTCGAACCCATTGACATTTTCGGGTGTGGCTGAGTTGTACGTAGTCAGTTCTACAGAGGACGAAAGCTCCAGATTTTCGGAACGTCGTGGAGTTCTGTACTCAAAATTGGACTGCATTCCAAGATGGATCAGGGTGCTTGTTCTAAAGGATGTCTTTTCTATGTGGATACACGAAAAGTATACAAAGAGCCTGAAAACAGGTTGACGAGCCCTCTCTCGGCCCATGAACTTCACACACGCCTCGAATTCTCCCCAGGATTTATGAATTCCGTCCTCATGATGACATTCTGTACTTCCGACAAAACTTCCTCATGACTCCGTGTCTCCTCGTGAGGTTTACTGATGACAATAACGTACGACTTAGGGCATTTTCTGGTTGTGACAGCACCTGGGCCTGATTCTCCTTCAGCTTGGTTTATTCCACTACTACGAAATTTGTTCTGGTCACGATGAAAGAAAAGCCAGCAGATATGATCATTTATCCCATTGGTCTTGTCGCTAAGATACTTGGTATATGTTACTGTACCCCTGTTACTGAGTGTCGCGTTCTTAGTGCTAGCAGAAAGAAATGTCATGGCGTCTATGCAGCCATGGGCCATTAATTGACTATCAACAGGCGATGAGGTCAGTAGCACATACGCGTTACAGTACTTTAAAGCCCAATTGCAAGTGTTTGACTTGTGACGTGATATGGTATCAGTGAACGTTTGGCTGGAGAAGTATGAGTGGATCGTGAATAAATGAGATTTATGAAATGGGATCATTGGCAATGAGCATGAGGTGAGAAAGTGCTGGACGTGCAAATGCTTCCAGCAGGTCTCTCTCTCTCTCACTCATAATCCCGCCTCCTTTTGCCTGTCCCAAAATTCCGGTGATCTGCTGCTTCTGCTGAATCTGCTTGTGCTGTGAAGATCCTGCTTTTAATGCTTCGGACTTTCTTGTTTCTTCTGGGGGCGGTACTGCTTGTGGTTTGACTGCTTCGACATCCGCACAGGAGCATGAGTTGAAGGTCGCCAGCCAACCAGCCCCTACATTTCTTCACTTACCCTCCGGAAGTTAAGCTGTATCCCCATGCAGAGGTTTAACTGATTCTCCCGCTGCTGTCCTTGTCGTGCAGGAGGACTCGGGGAGGCTTCAAGGTGCCACATCTGACATCATTCATTCTGAAGGCATGCGTTGGCCCAGAGCCTGTCTGTATATTCTCCTCATCTTCCCTGCTTGTTCCGTCTCAACACATGATTTTCATTATATCAAATTTTCCAACACCTGGGCCTGTTAGGATTAGCTCATCTTCCCTCATTCTGTAATAACACTTCAACTTCTGCTGCCTCTCCCACCCTCATAGCTGTGACTCTCACATACTCCTGTACTGGTACCACTAGTTGCCATTCTCTTTCTCAAGAGGTTGATGCCAATATGTACAAGAAACAGACAGAAAGCAACTTAAACTCCAAGTCAGTCGTATTTGTTCTCTCCTCTTCCAAGAGTTGAGCAGTACTTATCCATGCCCAGCTGCATGTGATGACGATCTGGAGTGGTGAGTCAGAAAAAGCTGAAGCTGGGAAGTCAGCAGACCATCGGAACGACAGATGCCAAGTGCTGTTTGACAGATCGATCAACGGTTCTGCACAAGACGAAAGTCCTCTCAGTACACTCATGTGCACCTCACGCATGAGAAGAGGGGAGACCAACCCTATACGCATCAGGTTCGCTTGTGTTGTGACTAAATCACGAGCCATAACACGTGACGTCTCATCAGACTTGGAGATACGATTTCTGTATGACAACGTTTTCTATTGCTGATCCAAACTCAAATGTGCAGGTCTTCTCTTTTCACCACAGTTCCTCGTTTATTGGATTCTGCATCTTCTCTTCCTCTGTCATGGTTTTTTCGGTTGCCCAATACTGACGTGCTTATTGTAGTTCTTCGAAAGTCACGATTCCAAGATTCATCTGTCAGCATTTTGTTGAGGTTTGGAGTGACGTCGTTCCCGTGCTCCTTGGAATTAGTATCTCTAGTAGATCCGAGATATGTACTATTTCCTAACGCTAGGAGCCAAGAGTCGAGAGCTGTAAGTGCTAATTGGAAGCATCTTAGGCACCGCAGATGTCACTGCATACACCATCTCACTAGTGTCTATACAGCGCATTACCCCATATCACTGATATTACAACCTTTCTATTAGACAATTTTATCGATCGACGAACGGAGCACTGTAGTCAAGCTGGCTTTCAGGCCGAATAAATATCCGAGACACGAGAAGGTTATCGGTCGTTATGACAGCCATCCACCATTACATGACAACTCCACGTCTGTAATTTCAAAGCAAGGTTCATTGGGGTATGCACAAACATACCTGCAATGATACAGACCACTGAAATTCATAGATGACTGAAAGGATTCATAAGATACAGCGCAGTTCCTGAAGAGACTTCCGACTGAGAAGGCAATTCCTGTTAGAGGAGACGATATTTCTAAAGTGACAGGCTGCGTACGACAAGCTTCATAAATTGACGAGCACTGAAAATCCTCATCGCGAGTAAGCGAGGAATTGAAGAAACTGCTGCCAGTAACCACAAACAAAGAGCGGGAGTGAAGGATGACAGCCGGCCCTGATACTGGACCGTCAAAAGAGGCATCACAAGACGCCTCTTTTGACGGTATTGTGACGTAGAGCCGTTTCTCAGCTGCCAGAGAAAACGACAAATATCTCAACCCGATATTCGTCCGACTGGGATCCAAAAGTGGCATTGTGCAATTTTATGTATAGCAAAATTATCGGGCGAGATTTGGGGGCAGACAATTCCTAAACCCCGACGAGCTTCCTCAAAGGCAGACCTTGTTACACTCCAAATGGATGGAGTGTAACAAGGAACGTGCGTGCGTGTGTACCTCGGAACGATACACCCGATATATGTGAATGATTGACAGCTACCACTTGCAAGCTTCGTAACAAGTAAGATGGATCAAATAGTCACAGCTATGAGACTGCTGATCGAGGCTGTAAATCGAATCAAGTATCGATAGGTGAAATATTTCGAAACGCATAGATAAAACTCCCCCACTGGTTTTTGTTTTCAATTATTATAAGGTAACAAGCGGAAACAACAGCCGTGGCAGAGATTTAACAGCAACCATACATCTCCAATTTCCTTCTACCGGACGCCAATCTTCCGCAATCGACTTACCATCAAACCACGGGATCCACGGGATCCGTTCAGCTGTAAAATGCCCGGCATCGCCTCCTCTACATACCTGGTCTTCTAGATCTGCCTACGGTGTGTACTCTTTTCCAATTGCAAAGCCAGGGCCAAACTCCTTCGTATCTCTCCTGTAATAGACACCCTACTTGTCCTACCCTAGCTCCAGCAATCCCTCCTGCTCTCCCAACCCCATTCACGAAGCGCATGCCCACAGCATCTCCCAAGCGCCTTCCTTCACACAGACTTCTCAGCACCAGACGACCACGAAAAGGGAGCAACCTTGCACCTGTAGATACACAGTAACTTGACCACTACAGCCCTCATCCATGAATTCCTTCCTTCACTCTCTGTCTGTCTCTGGGATGGTGTTCATCAGAAGCGCATGGTGCCTTGGAATCTCCCCACCGCTCGATTTTCTCGACGACTGATGAGGGCATCAGACATTCGTAATTTCATATCCTTCAACGAGAAACTGTCATCGCACGTAAAAGTTGCAGTGGAGGAGGGTACGACTAAGAGCTCCCCTTTGACCGATGAGCGAGCCAGTGATTCGAAGCTGCCGTCTGCATGTACCCCCCTCCTCCCGAGATGGTGGTCAGAGACCGAGCAGACAACGAGCAAGGAGGGGAAAGAAGAGGGCGCGCAGGACGGACGCGGCAGTGGCCGAGCTCGCGGCCATTTGCGGGCCGGGAGGGGGCGGGGGCGCGGGGTCGGGGCTGTCGGCCGGGTCGTGGAGCTCGAAAACGCCCGAAATCAGGCACTCGGGGGGGCTGGCGGGGTGGTCGGCCGTTTGCCAGATGACCGAGCCATCCGAGGCCTTCATGATGAAGTTGCCGGTATCGTCGAGCTGCAGCAAGCGCACTCCCATGCCGCTGGTGTTGGTCTGCCAGGCCACGGCTCCCGAGCCGGTCAGGAACTGCATGTCGCCGTCGCCCGTTGCCACGAGCTTGCAGCTGTCCACCTCGACCGACACATTGCACGGCGCGCGCCACCGCAGCATCCTGCGGTTCGACTTGTCCACCACGGCCACCCAGCAGAAGTGCGTGTCCTCCACATCAGCCAGCTGCAGCGAGAACTGGTACCTCCCGCTCGGCGACTGCAGCACGGGGTTCGACCAATTGCCTGAAAATCCCGTGTCCCCGTAGTCCAGCACGGCCAATTGAATCTGCACTCCGCTGTCCAGCTCAAGCTGCGTCGGCAGCCCTTCAAAGCTCCCCCCTTGCGCCTGCGCCAGCGGCAGCGCCAGACCCAGCAGGAGCAGCAGTAGCAGCGCCAAGCTCCTCGTCCCGATCCCGATCCTCGCTCCTCGACCTGAAGTTGCCCTCATCGCCCCTGCCCACTCTCGACTCCTCGTCTCCTGCATTGCTCTCTCTCTCCGAATGTGCATCGATCGATTTACCCATTTCCAGCGCACTAGCTCGCTCGTAGAAGCTCGACCGAGCATGCACTCCACTGGAATGAGCCCGACCGTGACTGCAGCAACAACATGCACGTCCTCGTGACTGGACCCGGGACTGGACCCCTCGTCTCCGTCTTCGTAGTCGTCGTCTTCAGCAGCAAACGCATCACGAGTCCATCATGTCCTCCAGAGGGATGTGCGCTCGCCGAGCGGCAGCAGCACAGGAGAAGCAGAAAACCCCTCCCATCAATCGATCGATCGATCGATAGACCGATCCACGAGAACCGACCCCGTCCACGTTCCTAGTCTTCCCCGGATGCGACGACCGTGATCCAATCTCAGCACCACCGCCTGCAGCAGAATCAGGCCGCCGCTGTCGATCAAGGCAGCAGCAGCAGCAGCCGCAGCAGGAGAACAATCACAATCGCATCCCAGATCTCAGCCCCATGATTCCCACATGAAGAACATGAACAACAACAACAATAACAACGGCGCACCCAACCCAACGGACACTCGACGGATCCCGAGGACGCAAAGCCCGAAAAATATTAGCCGGGCTAGGCCATGGATCGGATTAGATAGTCCTGGACCAGGACCCCCAGCGACGAAGCCCGGACGAGGGCCGGACGGGGATTCTGTGAACCCAGTGGCTGTCCTGTCCTGTCAGAGCGCGAGAAGCTCTGAATTTTCGCTGCGGGCGAAATCTCGGAATCCGCGGGCCGCCCGTTCGCGCAGCTGAACTGGCAGCGTACGAGTTTCGCGGGCGCGGGCAGGGCGGCGATTGGAGCGCGGCCCGATTGGAAGAGGCTGCTCGTGCGCCTTGTTATTTTGTGATGTGTCCGAGGAGATCTTGGTGTGCAGATTTGCAGCCCTTCGAACTCAGACTGGGCAAGGCCCGCTCTCGGGACACGTGCGTTTGGCTGCGCGTCACACGTGCTGGGGTTCCATTCCAGGGAGGCTCATTTCGAAGTTGACCTTTTGTGCCACCCTGGAAATAGCTTGCGTTTGACGACGGGGACTCCTTTGCGCCGTCGATTCACTTCGCAACGTGCTTGATATAGACCACCCAGGTATCCTCTCAGAACTGCTTTCCCCCGTCGATCTTCCGTCTGTCAACTCTGTATCCACGGTCCCTGGCGCACAGACACTGGGCTGGATGCCAACGTCGCCAGATAAAGTGAACGGCGCCAGACCGAATTTAGCGTTCTGATGAAACCTCCTGTTACCACTGACCCACCTCGATTCCTTTTTGCGACGGACGGTTTCGGGAGCCTCAAACTGCTGTGGCGCGTAGACAATCTCGTCCAGGGTCCACCCTGGGCGTCAACGTGGTAGACTGTGGGTGAGATTTAACCAGGTAGGCACCTAAACTCAACCAGATTCAAGAACAGCCAATACCAGATTCATACTGTGCCGAGCAGTACGTTCATCGAGTTTGTACAGCCTCTCTCTGCATGCTTTCATGGGCCCCACCCCGGACCTCGACAAGGAGTGTGTAGTACACACTCCTTGTCCTACCGAAAAGTTGCACTCGAGTTGCTACACACTGTGTGTAGCAACTCGAGTACAACTTTTCGGTAGGTCTCCGTTGAACTTCATCAGATCCTGTCCCCGCTGAGGATGTCCACCAACTGAGGTTGGATAAAAAGCTGGATTCTGTCTCATTAGACATGCAGCATTCTCCAGCCGGCTGTCGGTCATACCGTATGACTGACAGCCGAAGACTCGAGAAGCTCAACCCGTATGACTCATACGGGTCGAGCTTCTCGTTAGGCGCCCGAAATGTGCATGTTACTGTATCTATCTGCAGTCCCACGAGGTCATGACAATGCCATCCCAGACCGCCATGGCATAATATGATCACGATTGCAGCACATACTCAAGTCTGGTTGATTCTTTGCTTTGCTAGGAGTCTCGGACATGAGCCATGGAAAATTGACCCTTTCATATTGAGCTTGACCACCGGAAACAGAAAGAACTTTAACATACTTTTCGTGAGGGGTTACTGAAATTTATGTTCTCTGATTTCTGAATCAGACATCACAAAGGTAACCAAATCGATGTGAATGTCCGTGCTTGGATGAGATCAAATATAAAATGAGAGCAATACACAAGTCAATATGCAATACTGCGTTCAATATTTCTCACTATCTAGTTAAGAAATAACATTTGAACTATATTTATTACCTTCTTCAGTTGTGATTACAACTAGATGCATTCTTACAGTTTTGGAAGAGATGTGGATAAGAATACTTTCCTATATATCCTTGCGAAATATAGGAGAAGTTTAAGAGCTTGAGCTAAGTTATGAACTCCTTTTTTTTGTCCAGAGGAGTGGAATAGTGATATATCGTAAATCTAGCGTTAAATAGTTTCACAATACTTTACATTCAATGTTTAAAGTCGATTCAATGGTTTCTTTTATTACTTATTCTTGATTAGCTCTCCAACGCTCAAAGTGTAAGGGTATGGAAAGAAGTATACTTTTTTTTGTTCTAGCTTTGGAGATATTGAAGTTGACTTTGAGATGTTACTAAAAGAATAAGCGATATTTACTTTACTAGATGGTAAAGGTTTTAATGTATTTAGAGTTTTGAAGAAAAACTTGAACAATATGTTGCTCTACACAAAAGATTATCAAGTGATTTCATGGTGTTTATTTATGGGTACATGTGATATACCCAGTTGAGAGAGAGAACGTACAAGGGCTAGCCCTGTATTTGATTCCTAAGTGCATGAGTTGACGGGGGTAGTCCAATTTGTCCCATTCTTTGTGCACGTCCTACTCGCGAGAAAAATGAATTCCTATTTCTGTTCTAATTAATTGATTCCTGGCTATGATGGTGACTCAGTACAGTACTGAGTCACAGACTGGTCTACAGTCTACAGGTACCGTCGCAATTGCTCTCCGAGAGCGATGAGTCTATGACATGGCATGTAGATCAGATGATAGAAGAAGTGCAGGGCCCTGTAGGCCCAGACGAGAAGGTGGAGAACGACATCTCAGCCTTGTCGGTGGTTACCGGTTAAGAAGGTTGTTTCTGTTAAGAAGAAGCAATGTAGATTCCAACTCTATCCGACCCTCGTCGCTCGATTCTGGAAGCTACGCAGACGGAGCTCTCGAGGCCAGGACGGCGGAGGCCACGAGAGCCTCATTTTCGGATAATGCTGGAGATGACGTGGCAGTTTGCCTTTCGAAACCGATTACCAACGCCTCCGATGAGCCGAGCGAGAAGGGGAATCTCCCGAGGAGCGGGGGTGAGATAGAAGGCCACTGAATATCCATTCGGTAGCAACGGGTGGGTGACGTTCGCTGCTCCGCTGTTCCGCTCTCCCGTTCGACGAGAGTATCACGGCGGGCGGACGGGCGACGGATGGACGTCGCCCGAAGACCGGAGGGAGTAAGTGTGAAGCAGGGCAACGCTTGGTGGACCAACGAACGGACGGGCGTGCGTGCACTGCGCGATGGATGTGGAAGAGCGGGGGCGGGGGAGGGAGCGGAGCCATGCCCATCCATGGCTGGAGGAGATACCGGATGGAGCCTGGGCCAATGGCACGCCCCGCTGGCAGCGCTTCGGCCTCCAGCTATTCCGGAGCGTCGAGCCTTTTCCAGCGCAGCAGCTGTGCACGTCAACCGCTTCCGCTTCCGCGTCCTCCTCCGCATGCTCGTCTCTCTTCGTCCTCGTCCTACTCGCAGAGCACGAGCTCGAGCATTGGCACGACGGTGTTGCGTTTCGGTGGCATCTGATGCGAGCTTTCCATTCCGGGAGCGAGAGCTGCCAATTCCCCGGGGGTCGCAGAAAGTGAGGTAGACCTGCTCGAGCCCGCCACACGCCATGTCGGAATCCGAGGGAGATGACGATGGCACCGAGGTTACTGACGAGGAGGAGGCCCCTCCGGTGAGCTCCTCCATCTCCTCGGTCTTGTATTGGCTCTCGGTCCGAGTAGCGTGCAGTCAATCGGTCGATAATCGATGCATTTCAACAGAATATCGTCCCATGAATGAATGAATGAATGAATGCACGAACGCTCGACCGGCCGTTTACTCCCGTAGTAATTTGTTAGCCCAGCCAGCCATCGATCCGTCCTCGCTGCGGGGGAGGAGATTGTGCCGTGACGAGGAGGGGGACTGGAGTTCGATCCAGTGCCGTATTTCGTGCAGGGAGTCCCTTGCGTGAAGGAGGAGAGAATTTCCCAGGGTAGCTTCAGATGTTCCCCAATGACGCATCGTCCATCGTGTGCGCAGCTGATCCAATTCTGATCCGCCCAGCTGCCCGAGTTTGCCTAAATTTGAACTCTGTAATTCACATCAGCGCACTGTCGGATCACGAGCCAACAATTCGCGACCCCTTTCCCCAGTCACGAGAGTCGTCGCAGCACGACCAAATCTTAGGTAACTAACTGTTTAGAGATCCGAAGCGCTGCAAATAATTCCGCCGAGGTGATGGACAGACCAACTCAATCCATGCATGTGGTCGGTTGTCCGGGGCCCATGGAGGATCGAGCGGCGACAACACAGAAATGCTAATCACACATGTGATAATGGTGTTCGGGAATGTATTCTCCAATTGCGGTCCGAGAATTTCGAGTCATGACATGGATTATGAACATTCAAGCGGTTGCGCATTTCTCCGAGCCAGTCCCCGAACACATCGAACGTCGAGGTCGAGGTCGAAGCGAAGTCCAGAAACTTACGGTCGTATCTGTGAGCGGACCTACAAATTGGTCCTCGAGGTAAAATCGATCTATGGCCAAGAGGAGGAGGATGAGGATGAGGAAGAGGAAGAGGAACCGATTCCACGGCTTCCTCTTCGACAGAGAAACAGGCAGTCTCGGATCTGACAGCCTGATCATGCATCCCCATCCCCATCGCCCGCATTTGCCTTGAGATGGCCGAGCCCTTGATGAAAGACTATCGTGATGAAAATGTCTGACCCGAATTTGTGGTGCACCAGTCGTTCACGTGGTCGGGGTTCATGAAGGACAACGTGCCGCAAGGAGCCGGCGTGGCGACCTATTCCAACGGAGACAAGTTCGAGGGCACGTACGAGAACTCGAAGCGCAGTGGCCGCGGCAAGTACACCTTCAAAAACGGAGCTTCGTACGACGGCATGTACCAGGATGGTGTCAAATCCGGCTTCGGTGTCATGAAATATCCGGATAAGAGCAGCTACGAGGGTAAGTCCACTGATCATGGCCATGAAATGCCGGCACGTCAGTCCCTGATCGGAATGTCGCCAGCAGCGCAGTTCTTCTGGCGTCTCGACTCTGGCCTCTGTGACGTGACGTGACATTTATCGTCATCTACAATGTTGACTTCTGAGCATCGCTCGCGGTTCGATCCTACGCAGCGAATCGTCGGCTGTACTTCTGAGCTTCTCATGCGATTGACTTCGGTGCGAGGCTGAAGCTCATGATGTCTCCTGCTGCTGTTTCTGTTTGGTCCCTTGCCTTGCGAGTTGAGTCAACCTTGAATGTATGTAACATGCTGCACAGCACGATACAGGGATCTCTAGTCTGAAGAATGATCACTGTGACAGGATATTGGGCACAAGACAAGAAGAACGGATCGGGCAGGTACAAGTATGCGAATGGGGATATGTACCATGGTGAGTGGAAAGATGACGTCAAACATGGATTTGGCATGTACCTGTTCGAGGAAAACATGAGCCAGGTATGTGCCGCTTCTGTTGGTGCACACGCATGGAGCCTGGCCTAGCCTGGCCGGGCATGAGGCCACCACCTGCATTGATTCAGATGTCATAGGGCACAGACTTCGCCTGCTATTGCTGCTCGCTCGCTAGCTAGCTAGCATTGAGATTTTGATCATGCTTTTGCTCCCCACTGCTAGCACATCACATGGTGCCCATCTTTCCGATCAGAGGTCGTCTGCTGCTGCGTACTGAACTGCTCACAGTCTGATTGGGAGACGGTTGCAGTTTCAAGGGACCTGGAATGGAGGCTCTTTTGCAGATGGCAAATGGATCATGGAAAACGGAGATGTTGTTGAAGGATGTAAATCTTAACCACCCTTCTGTTCAGAGTCTGTGCCGTATGTTTCCACCTTACTGAACTTTTTGAGCGTGTATGACTCTCGGTGCAGTTTGAAGGAAACTGGGACAAGGGAAGTTTTGTTGACGGCCAGTGGTTGATGGCTAATGGAGATGTGTACCAAGGTACTTTCTCTAAAGGTAAACCTGACGGCCCCGGGGCCTTTAACTTCTCTGCCTCCAAAAACACTCTCGAAGGTAAATACGAAAAGGGTAAATGGTCGTCCGGCGACTACATTGCTAACAAGCCATCGCCGCCTCTCATGGATCTTAACAACATGTCTGCGTCACCGACGGTGCCTGCACCTCCTAAAATCAACTTCAACATCCCTCGCAGGCCTGGTCGACCATGATCTATCCTGTGCCGTTCCCCCCAGTGTACTTGACCTGTACTTCAGTCGTACACAAGTGCCCCAGCACAAGTTTTTCCTCAAATCTGGACATGAGTGGAAGGTTCTGAACTCCACCTGGAGCCGGGCATAGTATAGTTAAAACCTCACGAACAATGTTGCGTAGCGTGTAAAGAGTAATCAGTGCCCTTGCCTGTAGAGTAACTCAAGTGTTTGTATCCAGTTTCAAGTTACAGACAGCCATTCGTGACGTACAGGCACCTTGTTGTGTTGGACATCCTCACCGGATCCCTGTCGAATTGACTTTATCTGATCTCCAGCTCTGTCTCCTATGCTTGAATCTGAGCCTCCACGCCGCGGCCGGCCTTCCAAGTTCCAACATGCTTGACTCAATTCCACAGCAGATAATGTGTTTTACAGTGGACGGTCCAGAGTGACTAGAAGTGGACATTCTTGAGTACCGGCTTTTTTGCGCGCAAAGTCCACTCGCCTCGACATGTATCATCGCACATGACGCTCTGCTTTGTGCTTCTCTCATCCAATACCGATCTGTTCTGATCAAACACAAACTTCATCATGATTGTTCTCTGACCATGTGTTGCGTTGTCAACTCTAATGATTGTGCAGCTGACGTTAATCAGCCACTGACTTCTCAACCTTACAGTACTTGTGCTCGTTGTTGTCGGGTTGTCAGTTCCGGATATACCTGCAATCCCCCCAATTCTTACGTCTGTGAACATTATTTTACCGTGTTCTGGAACATTTCGAAGCCGTCATGTATATACTGTAATGTCTTCGACCTTCCACCAAAGACTTCAAGGATGTACGTCAACATAAGAACACGAAGCTGATGCTGTCAGCATTAGGATGGAGTCAGGGTCTAGAGAGTCACAACTGTTTCCAGATTACGAATCAGGATGCGAAGCAAATGCTTCAAACATTCCTTTTAGACTCCTCGAGATAACAACAGCAACATGAACCCAGACATGCATGGAAACAAATAGGCTACACACACGGTCGATCCTTGTGTGTTTTTTCTTTACATCAAATTTTTAGAAATTCTCAGTACGTAGCATAATGAATGTAAGGTTGTAGGTCGAATCATGGTAGCTCTGCTCCGATTCCCTACCTTAACGATTTTCTTCATTGATAATTGAAGTGACTTCCAGATTTATTTCTAGCCCGACCATTCTTGGACCCGATTTTTCCCGAAGTCCACGGCGGTATCCATGTTATTAAGTCATTCATTTACCGTCTTTCGACCAAATTTTTTTTTATTTCGAGTCTCATAACAATACAATCGGAATTGTCGACAGTAAACACCTTTACGGTACAAAGTAGAGGCGTTTTGTGCACTCGAGTCCGTCTGTGGTTTGGACAGGAATCTAAAGACTTGTGGTATTGGCGTGATTGCACTTTTAGGTCTTTAAATCAGTGTGTATCTGACAGCGAATGAAAATTGTAGAACGTTTAGAAGGAGGACAAATATGAAAATGAAGGAGAATCATAACAGGATAAGGAATACTAGTAACGAATCCGGAAAAATACACCCTTCCTTTCAGTCCCGAGCTATTCAAATTTGTCCATGTGTAGACTATCAACAGTGATGACTGCGTAGAGTTGAGTGATAGGACAAGCCACTTCACAGGAACGGAAGATGACACGAAGTAGTACTACGGTGTATGTTCTAGGAAATATGAAAATAGTCTTTGGAACAAAAACAATTGATTTCTTCCAGGAAGACTGTTAACAAATATTTGTCACGATGTCACCTTGTCAGCAGTCTTTTCTTTTTCTTTTCTTGCAAAGACGATCTACCTACAGATGATCACATGCAAGGTGTCCTGACGTGGTGTTTACATAAAAATTATCTGATCTGTGTACGGTGTACACCAACTACGAGGTAGAGAGTGATACCAAAATGATAATCAAACCTTTGATTTATGTTGTATGTTATCTACAGTTTGACACATTTTTGCAGCACTACACGCCCAGTAATATTTTATCATACCTACTGCTACCAGGAGCTCGCAGTAGTTACTGTAAAGATAAGGCAAGCTCCAATAGCTCCGACATGTTTTCAGATTCGAGTTGGAGCGAGTTTTTCAACATGCGTCATCATTGTCAAATCTGATGACTCCCTAACCTGTATAAGGCCTTCCTACAGCAGGAGCTTTCAGCACATGCTTTTAGAAGAATGTTTTTGCAAGCTGGAACTTACGTGGAACAGCACAGAGTACCACGGCAAGGACGAGAAGCATGACCACGAAGACGACCACAAATACAGAAGTGATGCTGATAGACATGTCGGGGATCATGACAAAGACGGCCGACATCCACGTAGCAGAGATGGAAAGAGGAAGCAAGAGGAAGGAAGCGACTGCGCCTCGAAGTGGAACAAAGGACGCAATTCTTACAAGCCTGCAGATGGGAATCTGAAAACACGGATCCCAGCCTCTATGAAAAGGATGAAGTCCTTGCGCTTGACAGTGTGAGGGTTCGAACCTTCATAAGGCAATATCTTGACGTTCTCAAGAAAAGCTTAAGGAGATCTCAAAACTCGGTCTAGGTATGTATGAAACCTGCGAAGGGTCTCTACATCTTCAAGTTCACAACTGCAAGCGCTCGAAATGGCTGCTTTCTGCCTGGCCTGAAGTTTGGACACAGCACTCAGACGGACTATTTACTTGTGAAATGCAAGATGGATTCAAACCGAACCTTGGAAAAGATGGATGATTTTTCTGCACTCAGATTAATTTTAGCTCATCGGCTCCAATCTGGAAATCTGATCCTCTCGGACGTCTGAGAGGTGACCACAGGCTGTAACTTTTATCAAGATCAATGCTTGAGAAGATGATGGGTGATTATGTACATTCTTTCGAGGTTTCCAACCAGAGATTTCAGACTGAAGGGAAATCATGAGTTGGCATCATTATCGGATGATAAAGATAACGAGGCAGCTTGTCGTCGCTGATAGAATCACGTGCTCAGAGGTCAACAAAACCTGAATGAGAATCAAAAGCAAAGGAGCAATACGAACAAAATATGCGTGGGAACAAATATATATACTTAACTTCTTATTTAACAATCTTCTATAATTAATCTCCGTCTGCTTAGGAAATCCATGGTGCTCGAACCACTTTCTTCGTTACAGGCATGTGCTCCCATCTACAGGCTTGACGTTGACGCATTTGTGGGATTGAAAAGTGTAGGTTATATTCAATTTCGCATCCCTCCGTATTTTACAGTGGCTCTGACGATATGATATGTCGTTCAATTTCTCTGTAATTCATCTTTCACGCGGAATTTGGCCCGGAGAATGGAGATACGGATCTGTCACAGTCTGGTGTAGCTGTGCAGCTTCGTTGAAGCCTCCTCCGCCTACGATGAGCAGGCGGCGCCTGTAAGCGCAACCTTACTTGTAGCAAACCAGCCTGTAGCTTGCGGTGGCGGCTGTAAGCGCAACCGCAAGTGAGCCGTGCCCTTCCGGAATCAATCTCCAAGTGACGGGGCGAGGGAGTCGCAGGAGTGTCGGTCGAAGCTCCGAGCTGCGTTGCTAATGCTTGCTTCGAAAGTTCTTGTAGTGTTAGCCTTCGATGGGAGCCACGTCGCGCAGCTTGGAGATTTTCCCGTTTGTTTTTGGTATACACAGCCGCCGACTTGAGCCACGTCGCGCAAGATGCGTTGGAAGTGCAGCGTCGTTGGACCCAGATTAGTTCTCTTCACATTTATCGCTTATTTTCCTAAAATCCGTAACATCCCAGAAAACATGTCGGTGCAACGAACAAAGTGAAGCTGCTCACTACTGCGGCTCGGAAACAAAGTTGGGACTGTACCCAAATTTGGGGAGTTAGACCGCATTTTGATTTCACATATATAGTTTACAATGGTCACAATGTAGCTCAGATTGTGGACCCGCACGCGAGGTATCGCCAAGGTCGCACGATGTCCCACACTAGCGGAGCGAGCTCTTCGAGCTCGTCTTGCGCAGCATGTAAATTTACACGACGGAAGTGTACGGCCGAATGCGTATTCGCACCTTACTTTCCTGCAGATCAGCCTTTGAAGTTTGCGAATGTGCATAGAATTTTCGGGGCCAGCAATGTCACCAAGATATTGCAGGACTTGCCAGAATCGAGCCGAGCAGATGCGGTGACCTCGTTGGCTTTCGAGGCCGAGGCGAGAATGAAGGATCCGGTTTACGGATGTTCGGGCGCCATCTCGTTGACGCAGACAAGAATCCTGGAGTTGCAAGCAGAAATTCAGGAACTGGTGGACCAAGTACACCATTTGGAGGAGAAGAAGCCCATGAGATTGACTTAGGGGTCAAGTGGTACCCCCAATCCTTCAACCGTCGTTAACGACGGTCGAGGCTGGGGCTGTAACCAGGATGGTTTCAGCATGCCAAGGGTTTCGTTTCCTGACATGTCTTGTGTGTAATTAGTCAAACCGTAATAGCACGTTGCAGACTACAGTTGATCTCAGGAATATAGCTAGTGATCTGTACATATTAAACCCGAGTATTATACATAGAGTATAATACAGTGTAATACAGGGCTTCAAAAGTCCATCTGTATTTTACTGTATTAAATCGACTTGAATTTTCAGAAGACTGTGAATGATTTTTACGTCAGAATTTTTGCTGATCATGGCGCTGTTACTCTTCTCCGTCCCTTCCCTTCGATTCTTTCTCTTATGACATTGCTAAGTACCTCTACAATTCTTCCTGGTGGAAACAAATCATCTCATAAGACGGTCATCGTACGTTTCAACATCTGCTGGTAGGAAAAGAAGGTTAATCACTGAATTTGCCATCCCACAGCGCAGTATAGAAGTTTGTGGATTGTATATATACGTGCTATATTATAAAGCACGTTGCAGACTACAGTTGATCTCAGGAATATAGTAGCCGTGTTATTAAAGTCATCTTTGCATCGCAGTCAATGGTGTGGCCTCCTGCTGCCTTCGTGGCAAGCGCAACCCTGAGGTCACTCATGAGGGAACAGCAATTCAAAACATGGGGTGCTTCTAGAATTTACATATCAGTAGGTCTACATCGGCGACATCTGACTCTACTTGTTATCACTGGGAGGGTGAGGTGCTCAGCTGGAGAAAACGCGACTGTAAGCGCCTGTAAGCGCAACCGCAAGTTATAGCACAACGATGAGCACTATATGTACCATTAGTACTCATGGTTTCAAGTGTATTAAATAGGTGGCCATCTTTTATGTATTATTACTCTCTGCCTGTACCAAAATATAGTCAAGTAAGAGGATCCTTGATACGATGAGCGAATGGAGAGACGCAGCCTTTGCACTTTCCTTCTCCATTCTTCTTCTAAATTACCATACATACCACTAGACAAATTGAAGTGAAATATGAGTTTAGAAGTCGATCAAATTTGTAGCTAGTCATATCAAAATAAGGGGGGTTCTTTGCCTACTCCTTAATAATATTCGTCTATTGCTTTCATGATGACTGTCCCCAGATGCTGCAACCTCCATGTGGAAGTACATTTTCAAGTTCTTCAGGTTCGAAAAATCCTGCACCAAATAGAAACTTCAGTTCCAATTTCACAGTCTGGCACGAACCTCGGACTACAAACATGTAGTTCTTCGGAAATGGCGGTTTGTTTTCTTGCATCTAATTTTTAGAACTTCACAGAGGTCACCAGAGCGCACTGAAGACGCTGTATCTGAAATTCTGCATCTTAATCCTGAGAGAGCCGTAATCGAATTCCAGAATCTGTAATCCCTGGCTAAGTGTCAACAAAACTGCTTGTCATGATCTGGACCGCAACACTTACTGTGACACACACACGTGCTCAACGAACAGCAAAGCAATGATTGGACTCTCAGTTAATTCTTTTCAGATTTTGTTGGCTTTGTTATGAGAATCATCCACCTGTAAATGAGATGATATGTGGTTTCTTCTCCGATGTTGGAATAGCGCGTACCAAACCTATTCAAGCTCGAACGATAAATCTGCTGAATATTAGAATCAAGATCGGTCAGATTTTGGGCAAGTATTTTCTGAATCTTTGATTGTATTGCTGGTCCACTGCTGCTGCATACATCAACGTCCGTGCATGTATTCCGAGCTTCTGAACATGTGTATGATCACAGAAAAAATGTCGCTAAGGGCATCTGTCCGTAGGAGAAGAAAGACGCTTTGCTGCATCCGAGGTGTAAGAATTTGAGGTCAATGATTGGATCGGAAGAATTTCGATATCCCTAAACTGGAACATGTCAATGAGAAGCTCCAAATCTTCAGCATCGTTCATCTGGTGGCCGATAGATGATTGAACAAGGACTGCTGCAAAAGCTGAATGGTATCAGGCGAGATAGAGATCTCTCGGGGTTTGTAAGGCTGGTTGGTGATCAGATTCAGTGGTGCTTCAGCGGTGATCGTGTTCGAAGTCGAAATACCAGAATTTCTGCTGGACGAGTTGCATCGATCAAGATCTTCGAATTGTAGTTATTCCAGGACATCCATTGTGCACTCCTTCGACCTATTTTAGTGACTTGTGATGCTAACCGCCTTCGCTTCCTTTCGTTTGAATCTGCTGACCATGCGTTTGCAAGGTCTGGACTGTCCCGTTTTGTACGCTGATACTGTCTAGGGTTTATGTGCGAAGGCTTGAAGGATGCGTTTTTCCTCACAAATCTGCTGCCTTAATGGGCGAGGTTACGTTCTGTACGTAAACTCATGAGATAGCTGCGCTGCATTCATGAACTTCTGAGAACTCCTCTTCTGACCTGGTCTTTGACGTGCATCATCGACTAGAACAATAAAGCACTGCGCTGGGACTGGAGCCAGATCATGTGGAATCAGTCTTCATGTTCAGGGTTCTTCTTCCACCACATTGTACGAGGCACAATGTGAAATCCAAAGAGTCCAAACCATTCTGGAAAATTCACATCGGTAGAGAATCATGCACATTTCTTCCTACGAGTGAGGAATACGTGGAGGCAATCTTCTCCTGAAGATGTTCCAATGCCATGACCGACCGAGTTCAGCATGTTGCAGAACGGAGACGAGCATAGCAATTCCTCCCCTAGATCTTTAGGGTTTTGAGTTTTCTTGAGAAGATATTGATAATTGTGATGATTATTATCATCACAATTCACATCTTGATTTGAATCGACCAATCTCAATACTCGAAAGCCATCGACGAAACGATTTGACACATTCGAAGAATTTTTTAATTTGCTTTTTCGTAGACTTCTCTTCAACCGTGCAACCATCTTGAATCTGGATGATGCGGATTGACGGTCACTAATTAAATCGTGAGGAATTAGTCAGTTAATTGATCCAACTCCTGCTCGGGGAGAACACTGACGTCTTCCACAGTGCAACAAGGGCTGAATCCACGTAGACTCCACGTAGACTCGGGATGCACAGCCGAGCTCGTCCGAGTAGGACAGATGGTGGTGGGCCACTATAACTTCAGGTTCACTCTAACCACGCAGTGCGGCGAATTTTGACAACCATGGTCCGCATCCACATCGCAGGACTAACTGTAGTTACAGGCACCAAATCACAAGGAGAACCGAGTCGCTTCTTATTGCTAATATCTACAAGAATATTTATGTTACTCTGGCTTTGGAATCGTGTACATTACGCTCGATGTGTTAGTAAAAAGAACGATAAATATTTTACTATACTTAGAGATTTATTTAGCTTACTTCATGACTTCTATTTTATCAACCTCTTTCTATTGTCATACAGGAATCTATAGGAAGAGCCATAAATACTGGAGCATTCCTGTTAAGTAATTATTCTGAGGATGGTAATGTTGTTTATATACCTTGAAACTTCATATACATAAGACGTTGTATGCCAGAGTTTGATACCATTGGAACCCTGTCAAACCTTGCAAGGGTAAATTTGAAGGTTTGATTTTTAGATTCTTTGGCTGTATGCTTTGCCCCCTTTCACTTATCACATTGTCCATAAGGTTTTGCGAAGTATTTCTCATTATTTGTACAGAGTTTAGGAAACTAGATATCAATCAAAATTATATGTTTTCATGTAACATGATTTGATGGGTAGAGCTAATATAAAACATGTGAGCTCTTGTGCTCGAAAGAAAAAGACCAGAGCCAAATTTAGTTCACAGGAAGGCCAAATGTTGAGGGAGTATGGGTCTTCCATTCTAGATGCCCGGGCAGTTCCCGACCTCCTGTTCCATGTCGTAGATAGATTTGGTGGCAGCCAAAGATCCCCGGCCGAAGATTAATTAGAAATACGGCATACATTCAGAATGTATGGAGCGTTCAAACAAGGAAGAGGACAGGGTCCTAAAATTACCCTCGAAAGCAACGTGCCTGTCAGTCCTTCGAATCCAAAGGGAAATGATAAATTTAATAAACGGAAAAGAATTGTGCATCAGAAGCTCCGACGACGACAGTGCCGTGCGCGACTGCCAGAAAGTGCGAGTGTTGGGGGCCGTGCTCGTGCTCCTCCGTTGCACTCGCTCAAGCGCATCCCCTTCCCTTTCGTTCGCCGGACCCCTTTGCCTCTTTTCGGCATCTGCATTCTCTGAAGGTGGATTATTAGTAGCATTGTCGAAGCGGTGGACCCTATCTATCCGCCTCGAGAGTAGATTAGATGAGATTCGAATTCAGCACAAGAGAGTGGAGTAGAATAGCGTAGTGTAGTGTGGACTGGGTAGATTAGCTTCCTCGTTCGTTCTTTTAGCGTGATTTGCAACTACTGCAGTGCACGCAGATTCGGTGCTCAGATTGAAGAAATTTCCACTCGTGGGTTCGATGTTAAAGTTTTCGGGAGGAAGAGCTTGTTGAGGACGGTTCTTTGTTTGGCGCATTCCAGGTTCAGCACTCGATCTTGCGGTCGCACGAGAGGTCAATTTGTGCCAATTGGTCACCCGCGGGCTCTAAAGTTCTGTGGAACTGACTGATTTCGTTAGGGCGTTCATTACAGGGAAAGAAGCGTCGTCATGGCTGTGTCCATTTCTTTCACATGGCTTAGAGAGGTGGAGAGGTTTGAGGGCTGCTAAGTGATCCAGATCCATTTGCTTTTGCAAGAAAAGGGACCAGAGAAGGAATCTCGCGTTATTGAGTTCAATTGCTGGGACAGGGGGAGAAATGCTGTCCTGGGGTGGTCTCACACTCTGCCTCAGTGGGGCAGCTCTCTATTGTTTGAGTTCTAACAGTGGCCGGTACGTCACTGCGACCCGTCGATTTCGAAAATGCTGGCTTCTTTCTTATCGATTATGTGTTTTTCAATTTTCATCGTGAAGATTATCTCACCGTATCATCTTCTTTAACATTGGTTGGAGCGAAATTCTCAAGCTTAATGCCTTTCGAAGCCTCAGCATTTTGCGAGAAACTTGCGGTCAGGTTCAGTTAGGTTCTATGATTTGTGGGTGTGTTTACCTCTCTATAACTTACGCATGCCACAATTGCTCTTCTTCCAGGGATGCGGCCACGTTGAGGAATGTAAAGAGAGTAAATCAACTCAGAGACCTCGGTGAGTTGTCGCCTCTGCTAACTCCTGTTTGGAATCCCTGATATGAACCAATTTTAGTACTGAAATTTGAAATAGATATGATTCTTATCCAATACATCACGAGTTGAGCAAGCTTTTCGCATCCGCTGTCACTTGCCTGAAGTATGATGCGGATCATGATAAACCACCTCGCATTCCTCGTCCTGAGTAATGTACTCAGACGCTTTGGAACTTTGACTAAAATTATAAACGACATTCTACAACCGGACCACAACGATGTGATTGTGAATATCTGGTCTGATTGACTTTACAAATAATGACTTCCAAAGAATATCTTCGTTCATATCCATTTTAAAATCAGAATGAAACTTGTTTTTTTTTTTTTGTTTGTTTTATATCGAACTTGACTTGCGAGATCGCTGCTGAATAGTTGTAAGAGTCGAAGCTCTAAGCTGGGGTTACAGATGACATGTCTTATAGTGTTGTTTTCTATAATCACTTTCAACTTAAATAGATTGGACATTCAGGTCAAAACTTCTTTTTTTTTACAAGCTTGGCATCAAACTGACACACACTGAAAAAATCGGATGGACTTTGTTCTACAAATGCAGTTTTACACCAAGTAAACTTGTTTTGTGAAGAGGTTCAGGCTGCGGTCATGTTTAGGTTTTAGCAATGTGTACCGCTGTGTTAGTAGAACAGTTTTTCTCTTTTACTTTACAATCTTCCTACTTCAATTTTTCTCCCAGGAGGTTTGGAAGGTTAGTCTGAATAATGGTCGGTCTGGGCATGGCATTCAGCGGCCTAGAAGACTGTTGATCAGTGCTGTTTTAGAAGAGATTTAGAATGAGGAAGCTCATAAATTCCTACTAAAGACTATGTGCTTTTCTTGGAATGCAGCGATTCTGCTGGAGTCTGCATGCAAGGCTCTACCCGTGGTTGTTACAGTAGCCGGCAGGGTTGGGTCAGAGACGCCCATCAGCTGTGAGCACAGCAGTCTCAGGGGTGTTATTTTGGAAGAGACGGTGAGTATTATTTGCAAGCCCTCAAGTTTTATTTCTACATTTTGGACCTAAGGTTACTACCTTCCAAGAACATTATTGGACCTCATTTTTCTTGTATCTTTGTCTCCATGTGTTAAATCTGTGTTTGTATCATTTTCAGGCAGAACAACACTTTCTGAAACACAATGATACTGGATCATGGATTCAAGATTCGGCACTTATGCTATCAATCAGCAAGGAGGTCCCCTGGTATCTGGTATGTCGAATTGTGAAGCAACTTGTGAAGGTTTTTAATGCTTCTCTGGTAGTTGTTTGGCATGCATAAAGGCAAGCTGGTGCATGCGTTGGTTTCTTCAGAGTACATAACTGTGGTTTTTCTCGTAGGAGGATGGCTCCGGTCGGGTATACGTTGTCGGGGCACGCGGAGCCACCGGAATGGAGTTGACCGTAGCCAGTGAAGTGTTTGAGGAATCTGGTCGATCATTGGTTCGTGGTACCCTTGATTATCTCCAAGGATTGAAGGTAAATTTGTTCATCTTGATGAACCTGCTAGTGCTGTATTGACAGATTTTTAACCTGGTGAGAGTTCAGCAGTAAATTTCAAATGGTTTGTTATCTCGCCTTTACAGATGCTTGGAGTCAAACGAGTTGAAAGAGTTCTTCCAACAGGCACCGCCCTCACGGTTGTCGGGGAGGTGAGATTTCCAACTTATCAGGTCAAAGCGTCATGTCAGTACAGTAAGAGGCTACTGGTTATTCTGCATCTTGCTTCTGAAGGTGATGAAAAATACAATTAGGTGTATCATGGAGTAGAGTTTTCGTGTATAAGTGGTCACCTTGCTGGCCTCAATCATTTTCAAGACTGCGATAGTATCTTCAAGACACTTGTTCATACCTTTGTGTATGTTGGTGGTAAAGATTTTTAATTCATCATAGTTCTTAAACTACTTTAACTTGTCAACAGGCTGTGCAAGACGATCGAGGTATCCTTCGAATTCAAAGACCACACAAGGGTCCCTTCTATGTCTCACCGAAAAGCATAGACCAGCTAATAGCCAATCTCGGCAAGTGGTCCAGGTAATTCAAAACCTGATTGGAAAGTTTTTTGTGTTCTGTTTACGTCGATTGTCTGATATGATCACTCTCCTTCATGACTGGAGTAGTTCATATCTGCTGAAGACTTGGCCCGGATACACTCTCAAGAAGCTGTACTTCTTCCTACTTGTGTGATATATTTGGCTACTTATTTGCCTCCCAGCATTTGAGCTTCAAGTTCCAGATTTTTGTATAATATGATTCAACTCATTTTGAGTCAAGAACCCGTTTAATGGGAAGGAAGGACACTCGCTTTGAGCTTGTTAGGTTCAACACTGCAATTTTGTTTAAGTTTTCGGGCGTGTGTTGAAGAAAAGTGTGGAAACGCTGTGCACAGATGGTACAAATACTTATCACTCGGCTTCACCGCCTTTGGGATTTACCTGCTGACATCTCATGCTGTGAAGCATTTCTTAGAGAAAAGGAGGCGAGCAGCGCTTCAAAGAAGGTAACAGTTGTCTACCATGTTACAGTTGTATCATCAAATTGTGATACTTTTCAAGACATTATCGAGTTTGCTTGGCCAGTTGTTCTGATTGCAGTCACCCTCATGACGTTGCTGTAGGGTTATGGAAGCAGCAGCTCAACGACTAGAACGTCGAACGGACATGGAAGGTACTGTGCGAGAGAAAAAGCCCTTCATGATAGGAAGCACACCTGATCAGATGTGCAGTTGCATTAGATCAAATTTCCAGTGTCTTTGTATGATGCTAACTCTGTGGCCGATTCAGATAATCGGGAGGGGACAACTGACAAGTGCGACATTGATACGACTGTGAAGAAGGATGGAACTCTGCCGGATCTATGTGTGATTTGCTTTGAACATGAGTATAATGCAGTCTTTGTGCCGTAAGTATCAGACCCGGTTGATCTTTAAACTGTATAGTTTCAATGACTTGAGTCGATGATTACAGTTCACATCACATCAAATGTGGCAACTAAATCTGGCTTTCATGATCTCATGCAGGTGCGGGCATATGTGTTGTTGTACATCTTGCTCATCCCAGCTTGTGTACTGCCCTCTTTGTCGGAGTCGAATCAACCAAGTCGTGAAGGCCTACCGTCACTGAGAGAAGCTGGTTGGTATACCAAGGCAGACAGAATTTGTAAATATTGGAAAGCTTTTGTAAAACCCCCTCAACACCATAAGAACACCCTCATTCATAGTACTCCTTGTCAAAGGTTTTCAGCATGCATTACAGACGACCGTGTGTAGCAAGCTTACACGGACATCAGATGGAAGTAGTTTATTGTCGCGTTTTACAGTGTGGTTCTGGTAACCTCGAAGCGCGTGTTGGTGAAATCCGTTGGGCTTTTTCTTAATCAAAGACAACAGATATGGCAGAGAATACTTGGTTGCCGGTGCACCGAATTCAAGAATGGGAGGTCCATGTTTTAGGTTTCTGTATGTAAATCTTTTTAGAGTAACTAATACAGCAGACGACTCGAAAGTCAAATTGTTCAACACCCGATTGTGAAGCATCTCATATCTTTTGGAATCGAATTGACATCACACTGGATCCTGTGCAAGCTCTCGAGGTTGACATATTGATGACAAAAAATCGCAATGTCCTGTGTTATCTGCCGATCTTTTTGAGCACCTTCTTATCTGAATTCTGCAAGTGTGTGGGGGCCTTCAGTAGGAGATCAGCGATACAGAGTTGCTTTTATTTTGACAACATTTCGTGAGTCCTTTGTATTTATATCTAAGACTAGGCGGTCCAATGCATAATGTTTTCCTACACATTCACAATCTCGATGCGCCAGTCTAACAAGATCTGCAACCATTGCTTCAATGGTTGCAGATAGAATTGGCACGTCGATCTAAGACTTACGTGAAGGTTTAAGAGGACTTACTGTTTCATTGAAGGTGGTAAATGACATTTGCTAATGTTACAATCTCGTGAACTAAACTGCAAGAACTGTGAAGCTGAAAATTATCACATCGAGCGTAAACTGTAATTCTCGTACGCTACGATATATTTCCCTTTGAATGTGAAATTGAGCCAAGAGTAATTAGTGAAAACACTTCGTTGTTTATGACGTAATCTAAGCAAGCATTTATGTCCTCTGTGAAGTGACCTTGAATACACAGATTTATAGTTAATCAAACTATGTCCTCTTTATACTAAATAAAACTGTTGAATTCTTTCCCTAGGATGTTAACCATCTTGTTCATTACAAACTGCAGAGACGTAGTTGTAACTATGAAAGGCACGAGACGTAGTTGTAACTATGAAAGGCACGTCGCTATGACTAAGCTAAACTCCAAATCCTTTGGAACATATCATGTTAGTAACATATCAGCCTAGTCAAATTTGGACAACATTCTAAAGTATGGTCTTGCTTTAGATGATGAAGCAGTTTATTGAAATATTTATCAATCGAAATGCAACTTCGCTATATCATGGAGTATATGTATTCAACATCAAGTTCTAGCATACAAGTGTAGATGGTGCATGACATACATCTCATCACTATATGATTGAGGCATAACAATTTGTTTTGTATTTTCTTGGGTTTTTCTTTTTTTTATATAATATCTATGGTATCCCTTTGAATTGTTTGAATTGATGATATATATGTGTTACTTGGTTAACATATTTCACATGAAATAAATTGGTGTAACAATATTTTTTAAAATGTTGTTGTTTTTGAAAGATGTTTAAAAGCAAGAATCTACATAAAAAATACATGATTATCTATGCATGATATAAACTTCCAGAAATATAAAGATTTTTAACTGAAATCTTGAATTTGCATAAAAAAATATTACATCTAGTTCCCTTAAGTAATAACAAACTAACTTGGTAAATCAATTACAAGTAAATTCATTTTATTCAAGAAGACATAAGTTTGATTTGTTTGATGATTCTGTTCACAATTTTTAAAATCTTGGAGGGTAGATGAAAGATGAGAGTAAAGCTCTTCATCTCTTGAATTCATTGTCCGACTCTTATCAATCACTATCATGAGTTTTGTTTCACCGTGATATAGAGATATCAATCACAACAAAATTGTAAGTGCTCTTTTGATTGATGACTTACAGCAAAAAATGATGTTGTCATTTATTCCATTTTCTCTTCCGGTATGAACTAGATGTGATTTAAGATTGATCATATTCACGAAGAAATCAAGATGGTAAGTTTTGGATCTAAGAATAGATTCAAGTTAAGGGGTAAATTGCTAGATAGAAAGTTGATGGTGTGTTGGAAATGTGGCAAAAAAAATCATTTCAAAAAGTGTTTCCATGAAAGATCAAAGATGTTGATTCTTTTTCAACCAATGTGGCTCAAGATTTTGACTCCAAGAAGATTGACTTGATAGACAATGGATTATGATGCCATATACAATTCATAAAGGAATATTGATGTTTTATGGATTTTAGATAATGCTTATTCTTATCACTTTTTTTGCATTATAAGGTTCTTTTGTACTATTTCATTGTCAACCAATTCAATTTTATGAGGAATGATTAACTCTATAAGATTTATGATTTTAAATTTATTAATATGCAAATGTTTGATGGAGTCTCATGTACATTGAGTCAAGTCAAATTTTTAGTGATATGAGAAAAAATTCAATCTGTCTTGAAATGTTAGATTCAAAAGATCTTGGATGAAACTCTAAGATAAATGTCTTTGAGGTGAAAATATGTGATATGATTATGTTAGTATATTATAAGCACAACAATCTATATTTATTAGAGGACATAATTATATGTAATGAAGTTAAGTAAACGAAATATTGAGTTCAGATATCTCATGTTTGACATTCCAGATTCGATCACATGAATAATTTATGCTTGTCACTCCTCTTTGATAGGAACTTGTTACCTGATATAGGTAAAGTTAACTAAGAGTTTTGTGAATATTATGTTATGGACAAGCATCATAGTTCGGTCTTTGATGTTGGTTTTCACACTACAAAGAAATTACTTGAGTATAAACATAGTGATATTTAGATTTCACACAAGAGAAAGATGTGGATCAAAACTAAATAAACTATTTTCCAATGTACTGAAGTACGATATAATTTGACTTATATGTGCACTTGTTGTAATACTTAGTCTTGTTTTTGAATGGTTGAATATACTTACTGCATTTTTTCATGTATTTAAAAAAAAACATCTACATGAGACAATCAGTTGGCTTTGAGAATAAAAATCAAAAGAAATTAATAGAATTATAAATTGTTATGCAAAAAATTCTTTTGCAAAAAAATGCAAAGTTTGATGAGCTTATGGGAACATAAGGATTTTCATGGAATGTGTATGATCCATATGTATATATGAAGAAGATGAATAATGAGATCTTTAATTTCATTATTGTAGTATTTGACTTAATGATATGTTTATTTTGGCAAAAAATCAATCCGGCGTTCATAGATGCAAAAACGTGTCAAAATCTGCATTTAAGATGAAGTACTAGAGGATATTGAATTTGGATATTTATAAGGATTTGGAAAAGAAAATACCATGATTAATTCAAGACAATTATGTTAAACATGTGTTTGACAAGTGTAACATAATAGACTTTAAAGTAGTATGTACTACTTTGGCAACACTCTTCAAACTTTATGCATCTTAATATTCAACTAAAGTCATTGAAAAAGAAAAGATGTCATCAAAATCTTATTCATGTTGATAATGTGCACAAAGCCTAATATTGCTGTAACTATGAGCAAGGTGATTATTGTTGGAGTCACAACCTCAAAGGTCATGTCCCATGGCAAGGGCACGGGGCATGTACATGGACATGCCTAATTCGCATTCTTTCATAGAAGTCATGCCCTTATGTTACAAACAAATTGATATGTATCTTCCCGAGTTTTTAAGCAATTCTAGAGTGATGTATTTTTACGGACATACAATTTTGATACGTAAATGTACATATTTTAATATAGGCATGACTGGGGGCATAGAGCATGCGTTTTTAATTTGAAAGGGGGAATGAACATGACTCAACAAGTTTTGTTGTGCCTCCAATCCTAAAGGTGAGTATTTACATGTCAAATCCAGATAAATGCATTGAAAATCAGTGAAATGGATTTTCATATATCTTAAAAATACTAAAAATAATGGTATTTTATTTGAAGGTTTATTAAACAATGCTAAATCCTTAATGGTTACGTTGATGATAACTGTGGACAAACGTAAATCTACAATTGCTTATGTATTTACATTTGATGATGAATGCATTACTTGGATATCTATTTTGTAAAAGTTTGAAACTTAGTAAATTGATATGTAAGAAGAGCTAAAAGAGAAAAGAAGTTATTTGGTTGAATAGACTTTCATTATGTTAGTCAAATTCATCTACATTTTACTGCAAATCAAATGATGGACAACAGATGAAACACATTGATATTATGTATCATTTTATTAGAAATACAAATAAAAATAAAAAATTTGGAAAAATTTATTATTGATCCATTCTAACTAATAATTTGACCAAAAGGTATTACTTTGGAGAATTTTAGCAATCATATGCAAGTATTACATGAGGAACAAAAGTAAAATTCATTATACATTATTTTTTTTCCTTATATTTTTAATCTATCATATTTTTTCTAAGGTTTAAATTTAGTTAGTTATAGTTTTAAAAGAGATCTTTGTTAGATTTGATTTTAGAATATCTTGTAAAATAATTATGTAGTTTATTATCTCTAGCACATGAGTTTATTAGTGATAACACCCGTAGTTTCCATAGCACGGAAAATCCAGATTTTATTATTTCTGTTATTTGGAATCTAGTTCGACTCCAAACATCGTCTAAGTTGGCCAAGAGACCGTAAACTTTTGTTTCCGGGACGTAACAAAAGTCAAATCGAATATTTGTCAATATCTATGTATTTCTTTTCTCCTCATCTTTTCACGTAACACAAGCTTCATGTAGTTATAGCAAATAAGGTGAAAAAAATTTCATTTACAAGTTATTGATCACAAGCTAGTGGATTTTTTCGTATTTATGATGATTTGCATGAGAATTGATATTATATATGATTAAGATGTTTAGATAATTGTGAAATCCACTGAATGCATAATGAGAATTGTATTCTATGGTAATTTAAAGTTTGATTTTATAAAATCAGACATTGGTACATTTTATTGATCCAAATGCTGACTAATATTTATGAAAGAATATGTATACGTATTATAAATGCATGAATAAATCTAATATTTTGAAATAAAAATATTTAAATTATTCTCTTACAAAATTGAGAGATGTTAGGTGTGGATGCAGCAAAAGAAGCGAAGAAGTATAACGAAGATGGGAGAACAAAAGCCATTTGAATCTTCATTGTGAGTCTATTTGGAAAAAGATGCGTCTACATCACGAAGAATGAACGATGCTTTGGAAGAAAATCTCGCGGTAGGTACTTCTTGATTACAATTTTTGTTGAGCTTTCTGTTTCTGCATATTTCAACGTCAATTCCAAACTTAACTCTCTTTTCTTTCAAATCTTTGAAGTGGTATTTTTCCCACTCAATTTGTAACTGATAATTAATATATATATATATATATATTATCAGTTATAATCAGGTTATAATTATCAGATACAGTATCTGAGTTTCTCACTGCGAATGTTAGACACATATCCAAACACTGACTAACAACAGAAGCATGTTCATATACCTCCCCTACTACCACGATCTTCACGCATCACCTGCAACAGCTGATGATCCACCGGCCACGATCTGCCGAGAGCAAGTGGCAATAGTTGCCCGCCATAATACTACAGCAGTGTAGGAATTCCACTTGCTCTCTGCAACGGTATCTATAGTCTACAGCTACTCCGTGACTACACACCGTACGTACAGGTTGCAGGTTCTCACAAGGTTCGTCCAGCATGCATGCAAGCTTCCGAAGATCAAAGCTCGGCACAAAGATCTCATTATTCGCCTCATGAACATGATCTCGAGTCTTCCTTTGCACATCCCATTCTGATAATTACGCTCAAACTTCAGTTTCCTAGGAATCAAAACCCGACATTAGGTCTATTATTGAGCCCCGCCAATCAACTACCACAGCATTCCGGCCTTCTCAGGTCAAGGACATACTGTCAGTTTTCACACGGCTGCCGAACATCGTCATCTCGTAACGGCTGCGCTGGTAATTGGAGGCAGACGGCAGTGCCCGGGGGCGAATCTAAATACCTCTAAGTAACGCTTTCTTGCCGCTGAGCTGTAGCGGTGACCGGAGACGGGAGGTCGTTCCTCGTTCTGTCAACGTTGAACGTCGCGCTTCGGAAGTTATGGCGACGACGGAAAAGAGCGAAGTCGAGTAAAGAACGTCAAACTTCGTCACCGGTGCCAATTCGCGGAAGCGAAACATGCGACAGATGGCACGTTCGACTTAAGGCGTGACGGTCGCCAACAACTACGGTTACTACAATGACGCAGTATATAACAACCACGTCAAGCGTTGAGGGAAGACCTGACACAATGGGCGGATACCAGGTGAGTAAAAGTACACGAGCTTTATTAGATTATAGATAGCTGCAAGAATGTAATTAAGCTCTATGCACACGAGACAAAGAGACTACTTCCTTTGGACTCCAGTCTCTCCTATAATTTGGGTGTTGAAGTGGAAGGCACCACCAACTTAACATTTTCTGCCCGTCGGTTCCTAAATTAAAATGCTAAGCCATGGACACATCTCAAAAATGTGGAGTGGTAAACAAACGTCTTCCCGGCCATGATTCTTCGTACAACGTCCTTCGTTTCTGTGAAGCAATTAGGCATCTCCGTCCATAAATCATTCACGTGTGTGATCGGATGTGGCGTCGTCAACTTAAGACTTGATGAAAGACTGAATCAAGTCGGCTGCTTCTTGCACGGTTGAAATTTTTCCTGCGTTCTCCTCGTCCAGCGTGATCTGGAATTCTTCCTCGAGAGCCATCATGATTTCGACCTGAAAAATCACACACCAAGTACAGCTAAGTGGGTCCGCAGTCGTCGGGGATTTAAGAACACCGCCGGGGACTCCATGCGAGCTGAGTGCCAGAAATTAGCTTGCGAGCTACTGACATTCGTATCCAATCAATCCAAAATCGGCTTCAAAGGGGATTTTACTGGGAGGGCATCTGTCAGGCTAAATGAGCTGGAGATTATTTGGCTGCTATAAGTCGAAGGAGCAACCATCAACTTTTGGCATTCTGTTACCGCGTTACTTTCTTTACAAGCATCTGAAATTGAGATAAAACTTCTCATGAAATGATCACAGAATGAGACCATCGATCATCGAAATTTCCATAACTTACAGTATCAAGAGAGTCTGCTCCCAAGTCGGCGAATTTTGCCTCGGGGACAACCTTCTCCCTCTCGCACGCAAGCTGCTCAATGATAATGTCCTGCACCTTCGATAGGGTACTCTGATCCGCCGCCTTCGAAAGGGTACTCTCCTCCGCACCCTGCAGCGTGTAAAGATCCAGGCGTCTTTCAATAAGAACAAATCAAAACGCATGTTTTTCTATGTATCACGTCACAGGCGGAACCCAACGAAGATAAAATGTGCTGCAATAGAATACGTAATGGCATCTTAAAACTTACAGAGGCTGAAATGATTGCTCTGCGGATGGCTGCAGGGCGCAGCACAATGGCTCTTTGTCTAAAAGAGGGAAATGCCTTGAGTCCATTGAATCTGGCGACAGACTGCAGGAGAGAAACACAAGTCAAAGTGAGATTCATTCGTTCAGCTTGAGCCTAGCCTCCCTGACATCAAACAGTTGATTTTGCATGGCATAGGAAGATCGGATCCACAATGTACCCCACGCTCAGTACAGATAAAACGCACGAGTCATATGCTGCCCAGCTGAACAGAACCTAGCGAGACCTCAGATCTGCCCGTCCTCCAACAAATACTAGCAGCGGTGACGACAAATACTAAAGAGGAAATTCCTCCGACAACGATGCGTTCTAAGCTACCAAGAAGCACTCGTCGAAATCCTAAACACTGGAAACATACTTAGCTTTCACCAAATCTATGTAGGCCAAACTCCACACAAGTACATCCGAGGGGGCAGCTCGTAAGTCAAACCCAACAAATCAGACGAGAGCCAAAGAATCACTCTGGGAAACCGGAACAAGTGGAGCCTTCAGATCTCACCAATTTCTGCTGGGCGCATGCTGGCTGCAGGGCAGCAGATGCTGCGGCAGCTCTAACAAAGGAGGCGGAAACGGCAGCCATCTCTGCAAACAGAGTCGACAAATTAACGGAAGCAGAGGAGCAGCGAAGCGAAACGATCACCCGGGAGTAAAGCAAGAAACTTCCTGCCACAACTCGATCAAGAAATGCGAGCAAGAAGAGAGCCGCTCAAACACTCGGGGAATTGCGTCTGCTTTGCGTGCCTCGGGAACGCTCGAAGCTTATAAGCAAGCAGCAGGCCGTGCGCGAGAGAAGATCCGATCGGGCGATTATAGCAGAGCAGGCAGAGAATGCGGACAGACAGAATGGATCGAAGCCGCTTTTGTTGCCGTCGTCCGCCCGGCCGCCGGACCTCCGCTCCGATCTCCTCCCGTCTCCTCCTGCGATTCTCGAAAACTCTCAGCGACTCTCTCGCGCTCTCGACCGCTCGCACGCTCCTCTTGTCCTCTCTCGCCCGCCCGCCCGCCCGCTCGCCCGCTGCGCTGCGCTGCTCGCGGACACCCCGAGGCGCTGCCCCTCTGCCCCTCTGCCCGCAGTAATTTCCACCGCTCACTTGCTGCTTTCACAAACAACCCCGCCCGCGGTAAGTACGCGCCTCTCACCACGTCTGTCCGTCCGTCCGTCGCTGTTCCACTCCCCGCGCTTTCTCGGGTGACTGTTTTTGCTGCACCTGCAGTGTTTAAACCTGCTACCGGCTCCTCGCCGGTGCCTGCCACGCCCCCACCCTCCCTCCGGACCGGGCCGAGCCTAGCAGGCAGACTGCCAGTGCCTTCAGAGCAGAGGCCGGGGTCCAAACTGGCGGGTGGACTGGAGCGCATGTCAAGATCCCTAACTATCGTTCCGACTGACGGCCTGCAGTGTGCCCAATTTCAAGAAGGTCCGACTTCTTGGAAGCTCTCCAATTTAAGGCAGGCGGTCGGGTGGTCGGTCGGTCGGTCGGTCAGGTCTGGATCCTCTGTTTCCCCGATGCACCCAGCGAACCACGTGAGGAAAGGGGAAGAAAGCCCTGCGACGCAGGACGGACTCGCTCTCCTCGCTCCACTCTTGCCAGCGGGTCATATTTCGAGTTTACTTCTTCTTAGCGCTCGAACATCTTGGATTTCGTGGGTTCGATTATTAGTATGCAGCGGAGCGAAATAGACTTTTTAAACATCTAAACAGGAGAAAGAATGGTGAGCACAGGCAATGTCCCAAATGAATCCCCGTTAGTCTCACACGATTTGACTGTATGGTAATTTTTCGTGTTGAAAGATCTTTAAAAAAATTGTGTGGGAAAGTCATTGTAAAATCACTTGCAGTTCATGAACGGTGATTGCTAATCTGCCTCTTGGAACTAAATTTTTTTTAATTGTATCTATCTATACATATGTGTTACGTATATTTTTCCTACCCTCCTATTATATCAGTTAAATTTCTGTTATTAAGTGGCACCGTTGATAGTGAAATTTGTTTTGCCCTCGGCCCCTTCGCTCGTCCTCTCACCCTTTGTTTGCTCCGGTCGACAATTTTCCCGGTTAATGGCAGTTGCTTCTCTGACTCTATTGATCGTATAATCTTCATACAGAAAACAAAGATAAAATTATGCGAGCTACAAAGTTTGGAGTCATTCGGAGAACGAATTGATTTGGTAAAAGCTTTTATATTTTTACATCTTGATAGCTTATGGCCTCGTATCGGCAGATTTGAAGTTGATTACAAATTTACGGACCCGATAAATCATGCATGAACTGATTTATAACCGAGATCTTCGAGACACCGAAAATTCGTCAATTCAGGAGACCGTGCCCAAACTTGATTCTGAGGTATTCGATGCACAAAGATGCACAGCGCGCATCCCACTCATTGTCGAACAATGGTTTCTCTATTTCTGATTCCCATTCCAAGAAGAATGGTCAAAGATGGTTGAGTCCGTGAGATGTGAACTTTACGAAAACTTGGAACAACAACGACAAATCCGACGAGCATATTTCAACAGAACAGTCATGCAGAGAGCTCCGACCTACGATTGCCGCAAACCCCTAACAGAGGCCTATCCACGTTTGACACCAGAAAAACGAGAATTGCGTCCGCTGCGTCCGCGCCTACAAAAGCAGCCTCCAGTTTGGTCAAATCGCATAAACGCGCTTCCCATGCCACACTTCTGGTTCCTAATCTACGTACAAACATCACACAAAAGATGTCATAGGAAGCGATCGAAGCGCACTGCGCCGAGCGAGTCGCGGTTATCTTGATCCATCGAGTAAGACGGATCGCGACATGATTTCGTAGAGCAGTGGAACTTTACCCGACCAAACCAAATGATGAGCGTGCGAGAAAAGAATGGCGAAATAATGCGCTCGCACCAACTCCATGAGCGTCTCGGACCTTTTTCCCCGAGCCCTTGAGACAAACCTACCCGCGCTTGCAAGCTTTACCAGAGAGTGCGAGACCACGCAAGGTGCACTCCGTCGCTCGACTGCGTTCCTCGCGTCGACCACTACCAACCGAGTAGCAAAAGCTGATGTGGTTGACTGGCGCAGCGGGCGACCGGACGACAAAAAGAACAGGAAAGCTGGTGGAATCTGCAAATCCGGCGCACGACGACAGCGCTCAACAGCATTCTCATTCGAGACGTCATTCGGGCTACGCAGTTGCTGCATGTCCACTCTGGGTCTGAATCAGCGCAGTAGACGGTAGCCCGGATGGCCAGCCAGGCTGGTGAGCCTGGCCTGCCTGGGGTCTATGAAAGGCGCGATGACATGTACTTGCGCCAGCTCGCATGACGTGGCACGAGAATCTTCAAAGTCCGATAGGTGTCTTCGTCCTATGCATACAATGCTGCCTGTGCCACGTGCGACTCCGTCGATTGAGGTTTGACCCCTCAATGTTGGGAACTACCCTTTGCGACTGCCCGACGACGAGAGGAGACGCCGGTTTCATGTTGGCGGCAGCTCTGTGCGCAGTGTCGGCAACTCAGATCGCCGGCGGGATCATAGACTTGTCCAACATGTAAACGATCAATCCCCCGGACATGGCGAGCACATTCCCTCCTTGGCCCCGTAGTCGGGGGATCATGCGTCTCCGGTGTCCAGCGCCAAGCGCCCGGCGCCCGGCTCCCGGCAAGTCGAGTCTTGGTTGCGAGTCGCGAGCTCACATCGAGGACCATGAAACATTGTTTGCCTCTTCTGTCAGTCCAGCGAAGTTACGGGGTTCCGAAGCGGACTGTAACCACCAAATCTCGACGTCCTTGAGTGAAGTGAAGTACCACGAGTGCTGAATATTTTCTTGTCTGCTGATCTGCGTCTCGAGCTTCTCTGCCCTGACACACCACCTTGCCTTTTGATGCCATTTTGATGTTTTAGCTCGTCCTCGATAATCCACCTTCGCATCGATGGTCTAAGAAACGAAAAATTACAGATAAAGATTATAAATAACTTTCGAATATGCCCAGTAATTATGCATATGTCTTATCCTTCAGTACGGAATTCTTGAGTTATACATTTGTAATTTGGTTTGCACAAATATGAATCAGTACCTTAATAATTTATTCCCAAGTGAAGGCAGAAGTTCATATCTACAAAGATGTGTTTTATTCCAAAACCTTAACTTTACAAAAATTCAGTTGAGATGACTTTTTCCATTTTTGGGAGAATTTGATTTGCATCTTAATTTATTATTTTATGCTTCATCTGACTTTTCACTACATTATTAGAAGTTCAGTAAAATTTTAAAGCAATAACATAATTTCAAGTATTGATATTGTATGCATAACTCATTGACCCTAACAGAACAAACTTTTATGCGATGCATCTTGCATCTATATACATATTACTTTTACTATGCTTGACAATGTATAATGATTTACCAACTATAACTATGGTAGGTTGTCATGTGTAAATGACAACATGGTAAAAACTTCAAGTTTGTAATCGTACCAGCTTAAATTTCACATTCATTCTGTGAAGCACACATATCTGAATTTAATGAATCTGTACTCTGCAGAAATCTCGATTCATTATATTTGGATGTAATTTCACTCCGCTGAATTGGAACCCCAATCCTTGAAGTGGTGAAATTAACAAAGTGTATTCTTTCTCTCCGAAATGCTTAGAGATTCTCCATGTTGCTCCTGCCTAATTTTGTCTCAGTAATGAAAGATAGAGTTGAGTACAGTTCAAACATTAAACGAATCTTCTAAAACATGGCTGTAGAGCAGCCATATAATGTTATTGTGATATGAAGGAACCTAGAAGGGAAAAGGCTCCAAAAAAAAAAAGCTTTTAAAAAAAGTTGGAACAGAGAGAATAGCCAGACGGAATTGATGACATCTACGTAATCGAGAGTTTATGGTGGAGTTGGGATTGATGTACAGCATTGTCGTAAATTTCAAATAAAAAAACTTTCTTAAAATTTGGTTATAAGTCTTGCATTGCACGACAGCAAAGTTTCCTCCCAAGTTTGAGCCAAAAATTACAACAGCCAATTTGGGAAGAAGTTAAAAGGCAAAATTGTGATAGTTAAGAAAGCAATAGAAACTCTAGCAAATAAAAATATATAAGTCTTGCATTCTAGTACAAAAATTTCCACATACACATTTCCTCCCAAGAATGAGAATAACCTACATAAATTTGTATGACCTGAAGTAAGAATATAAGCACAAAATGTTGATGGACGTAAGAAATAAGAGTAAGAAAGGAAGTTCAAATTTGAACTTTGACACTGCTCGTTAAATTGTTACATTAAGTGATATTGGATGATAACTTTATCTGATTACTTCTTAGTGATGTTGAATTTGTCATGACTATATTTTACAGATGTATGAAAGATATCGATGGATGGAAGGAGTATGTAGCAAGAAACTAGCCTTCAGTTGTGAAAACAAAAGTAATTTTTGTAAATGGTAAATTGGTTTGCATAACATAAGTTGTAGTTTAGCTTAATTTAATATTGTTAAAAATGTTTGCATGTATACCCAGATTTTGTTGTATCAATCTTATTTCATAAGTATCAATAGAGATTATACGTACAAAAAGTTTAAATGTTTTGATATGTCGTTCACAGATCTTGTTATGATAAAGTTTTTTCTGTGAAACAAGAAAAATGCACAATTTATGAGATTACCATCTACAAGAAAATAGCCAAATCGTTAAAAAATTGTTGCTATAATATATCACATAGTATAAAAAAGAAGTAAATAGATAAAAATATACATTTAAAGTTGTATTCAAATGTAAGATATTCGAATCATTTGAATTAATTTATTTTCAAGCAAGAAAGCATTTGATCATATTATACAAGTAATATCATCAACTATAAACCATGACATAGATTTCAAAACTACCATTATGTGACTTGTATCATATAACAGTTACAGTATTTTAATTTTAATTTTAATTATTTGCACCATGCATAACATTGCCTTAGCATTATACAAGTTGAGTGAACACATGTCAATATTAACAAATAAAGTAAGAAAACTTTTCAATTTTGTGAAGTAAATCTTCAGATATTTCAAAGGTATCTTAGATTTTGATGTAGCATTTGTCACTAAAACTTATTATGAAAAACCATAAATATTTGTATGTACTCTGAATATGAATACATATTATACACTAATTATTTGTCGTAAGAGGATGCGTGAACTTAAAAGTAATATTGCAAATATATGTAGATCTTTCAACCAAAAAAATTCAATGGCACTTGTCAGTGTAAATTTTTATTTCTTTACATTTTTAATATTATTTGTGATTTTTCTAAATTGAATTTTTTAAGATATCTTGTAATGATGTTTAAAATTAAATTAACTTATTCAAGATTATGTTTACTTTAGTTTGCATGACATTTTTTAAACAAATTATAACGATTAAAAATATAAATATTAAAAAACCTAGATCAAAAATGAATAATCAAGGTACAGTTTTTCGATTAAACTGTTAAATCTAAGTAAATTTTAATTAAGTAGCTACTCATATCAAATATATATTTGATATGGTCATCTAATATCTATATCCAGTGAGGACGCAGACAATATATAGGTAGATACAAGCTGGTAACAGACAAGGATCGTCGTCGTACCCTACGCACTTTTCAGTTGATATTCTGTATTAGGTGATCTACTCATGGAATCCAATCTCTTTGACTGAAAGAAGCGTAATCTCAAGTCAAGGTTAGCAATTCTAAGGAGAAGTGATTTAATTTCTGAGCGTGTTCACTATCCATCGTGAGGGCCGTTGATAGTGGTTATAAAGAGTTTGTAGAACACCGATTGGTATTGACTATGCTTTCTCATGACCAGGACACAGAGCAATCAGGAGAAGATATGAAATTTAGATGCTACTGCACTACCATTACTTCATTGCTATTCTCCAAGTCTTGCTGCAAAACTAATCAATGTGCTCATGACGTGACTGATAAATAGCTTTCTTGTCGTCAAATGACAAAAAGGGCTGATCTTCCTGACCCAAAACTACATGGTTCATAACAAGAATCTTACTGAACATGCTTTCCCGTTGATATACATCACCGGGTGCCTTTCTTACTAGTATTATGTACACAACGGCACCCAGTAAATCTAAGCTCAATCTTATGCACTTCTTCACAAGTTTGGTTACAAAAATTTCTACCTAGTTGATCACTTTATGTTGTTACAACAGAGCTTTTCTCAAGATGAGTTCGGTGGCGTAAATGCACCGGCTGCTAACAAGAGATTCCGTCTTGAAAACTGTAGATGCAAGAGAAATGGACGGATTTTGTTATACACGGCACGATAAATCACTTGCATGTTTCAAGCAAGTAATCACGGAGACATTGTCATAATAGGACGCGGTTCAAGAGACGAGCATAGCAAAAAGGCAGATCTACTCTGTGAGCAGATCAGACATACCTTAAGAGAATAGACAGGAGTAGATTTAGTTGGAAGAGTCTTCAAAAGCCGCAATCGTCTCACTGAACCAGCCCTGAATAACAAAGAGAGAAAGACGTCAGAGCATGCTGACGAACGTCATGGGAAACGTCAAACTTGAATGTCAAACAAACGGTACATAACAAATGTGAATAGAAATGACGAGCAAAGACAGGATACAGGAAATCACTCACTTGTCTTCGGCACGTGAAAATTTTGTACTAGCGTTCACGTCCCATAGTCTTACTGTGCTATCTGCCGAGCCTGAAGCTAATAAAGAGCCTTCTCCACTGCACATATATAAGTCCAAATATTAGAACCGACAAGAATGATCGTTTCGGGTCATCAGGATAATTGTAAACTATCACAAGTAAAAGAGAGCATTTTGTTAGAAGATGCCGTATGATGTACCTGAAGGCAAGAGTCCAGACACAACCAGTGTGACCCATTAGAGGCAGGACGCACCGACCAGATCCAAGATCCCACATCATAATGGCTCCATCCTCATCCCCTGAGGCCATATACCGACCATCAGGGGACATGGCCAACGACAATACCATTCCGCGATGCCCAGTGAAGATCCGCATGCACTCTCCCGTTTGCACATCCCATAACCTCACTGTTTTATCACTGGAACCCGTAGCAATATAATTACAATTGACATGCCACTGAACACACTGCAAAGTTTCCACATGTACCAAAAATCAGTTGACACGAAGTACAGCTCAGAATTGTCACTTTGAGCATTCTTTCGGAAAATAGTAGAGGGTTCAGGTATGAAAGATCCTCACATCTACGTCAGACAGATGTCCAGCCATGATTCGAAGAGGATGCATACGTTCCATCGACCAGACACGTGCAGTTCGATCATGTGAAGCACTTGCAAAGTAATGACCAACAGGACAGTACTGCAGACATAAACCAAATTCAATAGTCAATTTCATGCCCTTGATAATCAGGACACGCTTAGTAGACAACAATAACATCATGCTCCAACTTTTGCGTGCCTGTCCGAGAGTCGGTACTTCTTCTATAGATGGAAAGAGCGAAAGGACCCAATAACGCCTCCAAGTTCATAACTTGACGCAACAAACGTCTTGATCCATTCCCTAATAGGTCTACTGTACTTAGTGCAAGACTTCAAAGCCCTATCCAGCCGACTGTGGTTGGTGACTGAATGCGACTCTACAGCAGTAGGTTTTAAAAGTTAGAGAAGGCGTAAGTAAAAGACCAAACGAGCTTTCTTCAGGAAGAGACATCAACATCCACTAACCTGCACATCCCAAACAGGGTAGTTGTGACCTTTGTAGCAGCAAATATTGGCATTTAGCTTCAGACTCCACAATCTTACTGCATGCACGTACACAAGAGTCATGTTTTAATGAAGAACGTCAGTGGCCAATAAACACATGATCTGTAAGTACCGAGCGTGCAAAAAAAACTGGCGATGGTGATGTTAAAAATTGGAAACAGGTGATAAAAAAGACAAGCCTTCGCGACTCTAACTGAGGTATTGAGCTTGAGCAGTAACTTCTTTCTTTCCTAGAGACGGATGGACGAATTACATGTGTGATCTCCAGAAGCTGAAAGCATGTACTCTCCATCTGGGCTGAAATTGGCTGCATAAACAGGCCCCGCATGACCTTTGAATAGAGTATAAGACGTTTTGCTGTTGTCCACTGCTGTTCCTGTCATGATGTTCTCGCCTGGACTTTTCGTCGGAGTTCCATTCCCGCCGGCGGTACCTAAAATGCGTAGATACATGTAATTGTGAGACTCATTAAAGAACTTGATTTTCCATATTAGTTAACTGCTGGGGAGCCGTAACAGCGAATTATTTGGAAAACGTCATATGAAACTTTATATGCCACTGTTCGAGTTCAGAAAGAGTTAGTGGATGTAGTACCGTTTTCAGAGGGGGCCACGGATTCACCAATTTTGGTCATATCCCATACCTGTATGATAGTAAATTGAGGCTCCATCAATTGCAAAGACAAGACCTCGCACAAGATCAATTTTCTGATAGCCATCTTGACGTACTTCGCATTTTTACTTCAAAACCGGCATGCTTTCCTTGCCTCTTAGGTGCTCAGAACCTAACTATATGTGACAAGGCTGGACGGTGCCTTGTGCTCTCCCACGATGTACGACATAGCAAACACCATGTCTCAAAGTAACACATCAGACAACCCTCGTCATATGCTAAACATAAGTGGAGAGGAACTCCGGCAGTCTTGCTTATCACTGATAATATAAACTTGTCTTGCACGAGGAGTACCTTCAATGACGAGTCCGAGAAACCTCCAACAACCAGGGATCCATCTGCTGATATGGAAACACAATTCAAGCTGGAAACTCACATGAAACACAGAAGGCAATATCGTGATTAGGCTTGAAAGAAAGGGACTACAACTGCATACCAAGTTTCATAAATAAAAGACAAGGAGCAACAATCTTTGCTTCCATAGACGTTCAAATTTATGGGGTTTCATTTTCACAGGTCTATCAGAAATTGAAAAGGAGATGGTGGCATTAAAAACTAACCTATTATGTGTATTGATAAAAGTATAAAAGCTCACAGAGGGCAAGGCACTGCTGCCCAGCCGAGCTCTATTACGAAGGTCGTCGAGAGCTTGTCGTTCTAATTCTTCTGACCTGCATGATAAGAAGGTACTGTAAGCAGTATGAAGGGAAACGATTTCTAGGACCATGAAAGACATGGAAACAGGCTTTTACATCGTAGGGAACATATGGAATTGGCCCGAAATAATTTTCGCTAAAAATTTACACCAAAACTTCTGGGAATAGGCGGACCATACATGACAGGCATTGGCAACTCCGGCTTAACTCGAGGAATAACAGCAACAGCTGTAGCTTCGGACTTTGATCCTTTGCCACCGCCGCCGCCAGTTTTCTCTTTCTTCACCTTCTTCCCCGCACCACCAGGTTTTCCCCCTTCTGCTGTCCGCTTCTACACACATAACACATTTTTCTCATGGTAAGATTGTGCACAATAATCTGACGTACATGTTATATCATTCGTTTCCAGTGTTGTACATCTTGATGCTGACAGATTCGTATAAACAGAAGAGCGCTCCCTTATTATACTGAACCTGATTCAAGGCACTTGTGATTAGATCTTTGACTGCTACAATTTCAGCTTCTGCCTACATTCAGTGTCTAGGTCCTGGGTTAAATGGTCGACATTCAAATCATATGACCATATACTTTTTCTCTAATCAGGCTCGATAATGAACGCAAATCAAGTTTTTATAATTCTGAAGTTCCCTTTCATCCAGATGGATACTGCTGTAACCAGTTGCATTGTCGAAATGCATCCACCACTCAGTAGGTACTTATTCGTTAACGTCTGCAGCTATAAGTTACGGGAGAGCCCACTCAAGATCAACCTCGATGACATTCAGAGACTTTGCATCTGAGTAGCATCGTTGCATTAGTTCCTTCACTCGGACCGTGTTCAGATAGAACACGCGAATATTCGGGCCCACGGTTTGTGTGCCCTAATCATCATTATCGCCTATTTACAATGCTCATCACAAGTTGAAAGTTATGCACTTTTTGTCATCTCCTGAAAATCTACATGTTTTGAGTTGAATAAGCACGCGATTTCAATCTCTAAACAGTACTAGTATGATCCTGAGAGTTCACAATATGCTAGATGGTTAACATATTTTATGATTTCGAAACTGACATCGAAGTGAGAGCCAGATAATAACCAATTTAAAATAACCACCAACTGATCGAAAACCTCATGTTAAGAATTGTGCAACAGGAAGTTGGAACCAATTACGGTCTTATGATGTCAGACCCAGCCATATATCTAAATTAGAAGTCTTAGACGAAACTACCTTGCTTTCGTCCGCATCTGCATCTTTCCCCTCTGCTTCAGCCTTTTCTGCTTCAGCGGCCAGTTCTTTCTCCAGCTTCTCTTCGAGAGAATCTTCAAGAGCCTACAACGAACAAGAAAATGCTCAACCACCTGAAAGAAAAGAATATACGATATGGAAGAAACTCTGCATATAACAGTCTATAAGACTGAACAACCAATGTCTTCTTACCCCCCATCGAATCTCTTTCTGGTTGATAAGCTCCAATGCATCTTGTGCTTTCCCTGTCAACGTCACTGCCTCTTCTTCTTCGAACAATGGAGAAGGCTGTCCGGGGACAACTGCAAGTCAACCGAATGATGTCTAAGTTGGTTGGCTAACATTGATATCTTGAAGAACTGGTACATCAAACACTGAAGTACAGCCACCCTGTAAAGTATGAGTTAACCACCTTGTAGGTTGATGTGTGCGTTCACGATGCTAAGCATCAACATCGAGTCAGTGTTGTGAAGATATTGCAACAGCAACTCAAAAGAGTACTGCAAAAGAACAACACATGAATGACCTTTGTTCACTTAGCACATATCACATCCCAAATGTAGTCCGATTCGCAATCAGTTACAACGGCACTCAACTTTAGCACTCATTCGATTAATTGCTAAAAATAAAAGATTTTGTCTCCATTTTTTTGTTCTAGACAACAAAAATAAAATCAACAGCTCAGATTATAAGAAAAACAAATTCAAGCTGGGCTGGTTCATAAAATTCGGCATCTGCATACTTAAGATAATATTTAACCCGGAGCACAATTATATGTCAGCAGTTAAGGGTGTCAAGGTCCATAGAAGCGAGACATTGGGCAAGACGGTACAATAAGCTGTACAATTTACACAACTTTCATCACGAACTTGCGTACGTAAAGGATATCGCGTGACTCAAGAATTGCTGAAGTACCTGGCACATTTTGATGTCTATTTTATTTTCTCGGAACGAGCGAGCAAGTTCTGTTTCCTGCAATTGACACACATATCATCAGGATAAAAATACACTAAAAGAGATATCTACGAAGGAGGTCTCTAAATTCATTAGAAACAACAAGGGAGATAATTACAGCTGCAAAGTTGCTGAATAAATTCTAGGTTCTGGGGGCTCACTTTTCTCAATGATAGGTTGAGTAAACAGAAATACAGAAAAATCTCTATGGTAAAATCATAATCATGACATCATAAAATATCCCGACGTACAAGACCCCAACCTCAAGATGCTGAGGAGCAAGCACACCCTCGAGTTTTTGCAGATCTCTCATGTGTAAAGCTTCATGGTCGTCTCGAAAAGTTTGAAAAAACACCCGAGCTGCTTTTCAAAGCATGCAGGAGTAAATCAGGCGTGTACTCTCTTTTAGAAAAAGATAAGTTGACTCAAGAGTTTCAGAGCAAAAGATCGGAATCTCGCATTGTGCAATATGAAAATCCTTCACATGTTCAGCAAAACTATCACACAGTTGAAGCTTCTATAAATGATGAATCTGCAGAAACAAACGCTTACCTTCTTGTGAGTATCCTTTTGCAACCAGCTCCAAGAAGGAATGCACGAACACAGGATAAAGTATCCTCAGCAGCTCGTTCTGTAAAGGTTGACCACTACGATGGCTCAGGGTTCCACCTGACTTCAAATTGCTCTTTGGATGCAAAACTTTGTAGGTGGAGCAGGGGTTTATCGGCGTTGGCTTTGACAGCTAAGAATGAGAACTAAAATCGGCAGATTTTGTCAATGGCAAATTACAGAGCCAGGAAGGCAGAAGTTTGAGTTATGGAAAGTGAGCAGTTCCAAACACATGGCACACCATTATTTTATGAAAACAAACAGAGGTAACCGTTAGACTGGACAAACCTTGTACTGGTCTAAAGAAGAGTGGACCCACGAACGTAACTTGCTGAATCCTTCCTTATAGCGCCCTGGATTGTTATCAGACCTGTCGCCATTTACCAGTGACAGCATTCAGCAAGCAGCTACCGGAATGGAATGTAAGGACTTGAACTTAACACAGGTACCGATATATGCTCCCTACATCAACTTGGTCACTGATTCTTCTCCCTTTCTAGTATGTTTACTCTTGATATTGAGTTCACGATATAAAATCTGAGCTGATACCCATTGATCATACTATTTTGTAAGTCCATCAATATTATTACCAATACTTAATTGATCCCTTGAAGCCCTATTTCTGATGTATGAGCCGAAACATCCCTTTCGAGCGGGTTCGTATTATCTTTTCTGATACTTGAGATTTCATGTAGTATGACCTTGGTGCGTACGTTATCTCCATTAACATAATTCACTATCAAAACGTAATGTGCGTGGTTAAGGCAGGTGCTCAGAAAATCGCACGTTTGTTTTAGTTCACGTAAATCCATAATGTTACAGGATGACCAATCAGAACTCACACGGGCAAGCAAAATCTTCAGGGTCTAACGTTCTCACGGTTTTGAATTGTCTAGCAAAGGATTAACCAGCATTCAAAACCGTCGGGCCTAAAAGTGTGAAGAACAAGAATTCTCGTGCCTGGAGTAAAAGAATATTTGGTTGGCGATCACAGGGTCCATAGGAGCACTAGGAACGGCCGACTGGGGACTGGACGCCGGCTTCACTTTGTTCTGATCATCTTGGAAGGCGAGCTCCGCAGCTCGGTAGCCTTTCTTTTTCAAATAAGCTAACACGGCCTTATCAATTTGATCTTCCTCCATCTTCGAAGACGCCGACACCCTCCCCCAAAAACCTGTGATGAAACCTGACCAGACGAAAACCTCACGATAAAAGCCGGTCCTCGTTATATCCTCGTCAAAGCAGCCAGTCCAAAGACCTTCAGAATACTACTCTTCATTCCGGCACCTGTCCCTCAAATCCAGGAGAAGCACCGCGACAGTGTCGAACCAACGCACCACCGAGCTGAACGCAGCCCTACCCGGCGAACATCAAAATCTCAGCTCTCGGAGAACACTCTCTGAGCAGCCTCGTCGACAAAAAATGCCCAAACGCCCGGACTCCCCAGAACCCTGCCCTTCGCTCGCAAAACCTCGCGCCCACTGTCACGAGAGCGCTTACCGCGACGTTCCTCAGCCTTCTGCGCCACTCTCTCTCTCTTTCTCTAAATGTCCATTTGGCGGGGCTCGCCTCGAGAGCGCACCAAAGCAAAGCTCTCCGCAAGGCTCTTCAAACTCGCAGCCCGTTTCCCACAATCGATGAACCAGGCTACGGTAACTTCGGACAGAGCCACGTACCGTGAGCTGATATTGCTGCGGGGGCGAAACCCTTCAGTCATCATGAATCAATATTGTGCGTTCAATATTTCTTTCAGGCTTATTACGAAGAGGTATAATGCGTCTGTTTCGATCTTCTTGGTCAGTATTGCGCTTTTTCTTGAAACATCAATAGATAGAGTTCCTCTTCGTGGTATGGTTTCATTTGCTTACGAAAACTGTTGAAACCCGAATTGATGAGTATATGCTTGGTGGGTTTCCATATACCCTATAATAGGTTTAAGGCAGCAAAGTACTTTTTATTGATTGAGATGCAAGATTAATGTCTTATGGGGTTGAATGATGAGCTATATCCAATTTATGGCATGACATAAAGTTGAATTATTATGGCAATTGCAAAATCATGTAACATTTTGTGTGAGCTCTTGTGGCACATGAAAGTAATATTTCTGTTTAGATAAACCACGGCAAAATAAAACGCCATGACTCAAAGATAAGAAATGGATTCCCGCTGCCTTGAATATGGACGAATGTGCTTTACAATGTGCTTTACGTTGGGGTGGTTGGGCTCGATCTATTTCTACCTCCAGTTTCTGAGGTCGGGGTTGGAGTTATTAGATTCTTGGGAAATCCGGTCTCTGCGTACTACTTATATTATAAGGAAGGTTTTGTAGCTTGAAGGTATGTTTTAATTGTTGATACTTTTGACTCTTGCTGGATCTTGAAATTATTCCCTTGTTATGCTTCTCGATTGGATGTTTTGGTGTTGGTTTGTTGCGGCTCCCGTGATTACTAGATATGTTTGTGGAGATTTTTCGCTTGATTCTGGTTTGCTTGTGTCTTGCCTACCCATGCCATTCTTCTTTACGTCTTTTTGTAACTTGTTTGTGGTATATGTCGTGCAAATACGAATCGTCATACAACATACATCACCGACATGTCATATGTCATATATTTTAACATAGGCTATATTTAGTTGTCGGCCTAGAATTACCAGTTGGAGTGTATAGAGTCGACAACGACTCGAAGAACGTCGGTTCTTTCATTCGAACCTTTATCAAATGGATTAGTGAGTGCCCTCAAGCGTCGACTTGAATTTCCAAGACGAGTGGGGTTGGACTCGACTTTTGGGTGATCTAAGCCAATGGAGTTTTTTCAACACATTTCACTTCAAGAACTCATTCCTCTTACGTTTATAGGACTTTGGAGCAAATTAATGTTTCTTAAATTTTGGATTGAACACAGTGAGGACGACGAAGAGTGTATGTTGGTCGTTATTTGGGCGGTGAAAGAAGTAATAAGGTGATTTGAATTTTATTGTTCATGTTACCCGTTCGTAAAACGATGACAGAAGTCTTTGACCTGTGATATTTGAGCTGATGTACTGTGTAATGAGGAATGTAATGAGAGCCCCTCACGGCCCCGTACATTCCATCCATGTCCCAAATCAATGGGGTTGGGACACTAGACGATATCACCACCGAAGACTCTGTGTCTACAACACCTTGATCTTCCTCCGCAACGACTGGCAAGATAGGTGAAGGTAGCCGATACCTCAAACCACTCCGTGTAAATCCACCGCGGTCCTTAACACGACCACTAAATTGCTTAGTGATGACGAAAACTCAACTAACACCACTGCCAGATCTCCACCCACTAACCCTGTCCGCACATGACGTCGTGCCGCACTAAGCTACTCTAGCCCACTAGCAAAGGGGTATAAGCAACCTAACATGTCATCACCGCAAGAAGACTCTCACGATCTACTAATCATCATTCCAAACTCACCGTGAGAGAAACAAAGATAGGCCGGCCGGTGATCAAGTCCAACCCCCTATCGACAGCACATAGGAGTAAAACTATTCTGGAAATCAGCGTCAACACTACAGGGGCGCGCACCAAGAAGCAAGACTGCAGAGGATCCAAACACAAGCAAACAGCTAGCAACAACTCTCGAGTCTAAAGGAAACACAACACAAAACGAGACAACACACACTGGCCATCGCATCACATTGCGATCCCGATTCGATCTCCATTGCCCGCTATCACCTTCTGACTTCAGCGCTTATGTTGCACTCTTCCACCAAATTGCAAACAAAGATGTTTGTAAAATTGTTTTTTTTTTTCTTTTTTCTCATTCACACTTGGATCACACTCCACTTCAACAAACACACTACACACTGAAAGCTCAATATTTTTTTGACCACGTCATATATATATTTACAATGCTTTCAACACCTCAAGCTTATAGGCAATGAGACCGGGTGCAAACTCCCGATCACTTCAGTACCTTTTTTCTAAACCCTAAAGGTATTTGCTATCAATCCTTGCGAAAATAATCAACAAACTTTTCAAGTACAAAAATTTCTTTTGACAGACAGACTTGAACATATTAAACATCTCTCAAATGATCAACGACATGCTTTGGAAGATCTAGTAATTCATCCTCACATATCTTGTACTCTGTACCGGATTCCTCCCGAAGTCTTTCTACTGCTAATTCCTCGTCCCAATCTAATCTAGAATTTTTCTCTTCTACCGCAGCAATGTTCACCTGATTCCCTTCTACTTGAGGCTGCACTGTCAACTCCCGCTCTTGATGCTCACGTTTCTCGCTGCTGGAGATCCCTACCGTCTTGATTTTTGGTACCTCAATGTCTCCCACCTTATCTCTTAGCGGCATTTTCCTCTTCAAAAGTCAAAAGTCCACTGTGTACATTGATGTTTACAAAGTATCTGTAAACTAAATCACTAAAGTGGAAACTAATTACAGTTTAACTATAAAACTATCACAAAGTTTTATAGTAGCATCAGTCAGTAACATTTTTACTATAAATTACCACTGTCGTATATTTATACTTGTATAATATACAGTAAAACTACAAGAAGTTGTAAGGCCTGTATCAAGTCCATATCTCAAAAGGTTGCAAACTCCAACTGTACTTTTCCGTTTGCAGAGAAGACTACTCTTGGTAACTAAACTTTCTACTACTGTTTATCACTATAACATTATAGTGATAAATCTAAGCTGCAAAAATTGTAGTTGAATATCCCACCACATCGAAGATCTCCTCAGGTGTAGGCATGACATACTTATCATACTTCATCTGCTGACTGATATGACGGTAGTCTCCACACATGCGCCTATCCTTGTAGTTGCCATGTACATCTTTCTTCACCAGCATGACAGTGGCTAACACATACTCATCATGCGATAACTCCACTAGTCCAGCCTCCAGCACGTCCAACGTCATACTCCGAATCAAATTCCTCTTCATCTCACTGTATTGATAAGGACGACAGAAGATTGGCGTATCACTAGCCAATTCTATCCCTATACCGGATCAATCAAAGCACCCAACCTGTGAGCACAAAAATGCGCTTGCATGTTTCATTTAACTTTAAGAGAGTTAAAATTCTAGATTTAACATCTCGGAAAATTATGCTTGGAATTTTTGACGATTTTTGCAAGATCATGAGTTCAAGCGACATGCATATCGAGGACTTCAAAAATTTCCAACATGAAACCCACGTGAATGATTCGAAGAAGGAATTCAACGCAGTCTGCATCGTTGCAAGAACCAATTCCCTGCCAAATGCAGTCCTTGGGGCGGAGAATTACGAGCAAAGTCAGAATGAGTAAGGAGTTTACAAAAACAAAAATAGTAACAGTTTACGAGTTTTTCACGAGCCAAGTCCGATCATTGCTTGCGATATTTGATCATATCTCATACGGCCATTGCAGCGAGTCGAATCGAAGCCCGGAGAAGAGATGAGTCGGGACGACAACACCACAAGAGAAGAAAAGGAGAGAGCGAGAGATTAGAGAGGCCGACGGAAAGGAATCGATGAGGAAAGCGAGTGAGACGATGTGGCGATTCACCAAAATCACAATTCATCTGATTCTGCGTCAAAGTTGTGTCCGCTTGCGATCCAATATGACAACATGAGGGCTAGCTGAAGGGAAGTGAGAGGAGGCCAGTCGTAAGAGAGAAGCCGAGAGGATTGCCGAGAGCATGTAGCTTGGGCAGAGCGATTGAGAAGGAAAGAACGCAAGAAGTAAGCGGGAGGCGGAGTCAATCTCGGGAAGGAAGTTCAAAATTGACGGTGAAGATTGTGCAGGTACCTTGTCAGGGCTGCGATGCATTGGCCTGTCCATCCGTCGGCCAGGAGGGTGCGGCTAACGGTCTCCTGTGCCGCACGTCATGCAGTGAATGGGCTAGGGTGCTAGGGCCTGCGGCCATAGGCTCTAGGAGGCTGCAGGCTCTGGGCTGTTCGTGCTGGGGGATGTAGTATGGTCGTGAGAGTGTGGTCTCTCAGTTTTTGGAGGTGAGATCCGGATGTTGGAGGGGAGCGGAGAGTGCTTCGAGGGTAGAGAGTCGAGACTTGTGAGTGGGGTCTGAAGGTGGATCCCTGTGTTGACGGAGGTGAGAGTGAGTGACTCTCGCATGAGTGAGTAATTTTAGAGAGGGGAAGTGAAGAGAGCTAGAAAGAGGAGTAAGTGAGTTTTCGAGGGTGAAGAGTAGAACTTGGGATTAGGATTAAAATCGAAGGTGGAAACGGAGGGTTTGAGACTGAAATCTGATACTCGAGATTGTGAGTGCTATCTGATAGGAGGGGGAATCCGTGAGGACGTTTGCCGAATAAGAGCTCTTAGAGAGAGGAGATAGTGACCGATTCGAAAATCAGAGAGAAAGTAGCGGTAAATCCAAAATTTAGAGAGTAGATAGTGACCTATTCAAAAATCTGAGAGGAATAGTGGCAAATTCGAGATGCCAGTGACATGTGCTGTCAAAACAGTCAGTATAGAGTATTCCTCAAAAGAACATTTTTTTGTATCAAGAACTCGTTTTTAGGTGTTAGCCCGGTATATCGTTCCGCGAGGATTTTGTGAAGTGCAAAGACCACCGATTCTGTCACTTACAATATGGGCAAATTTTCTTTACTACTAACTCCTCAACCTGTTTAATTAATCAGAGGGATCTCCA